ACTGGAAATCAAATTAAGCAACAGAAGACAACCAACCAAGCTCCATATCATAACAGACGTTGAGCATCTGCTCCCTCCATGGCAACGTAAAGTTGCTGATTTCCTGTTTTTGTTCCTCATCCTCATTTTCTCTACCAGTTGTCTTCAAGATAATGTTTGGTCTTAACAGGTTGCCACCTATGGTCAATAACCCAACTACATATAAGTGAGAGGTTTCTAATCTACATTGTAGAGAATACCCATCCACTGGGAAAAACATTCCCTTTCCAACATACGAGAAATGAAAGAAACATGCGCTATAATTCTATTACCATTGTCCAATTGTAAATTTTTATACTTAATTTATTAATTTTGTAAGGTGGATGCCTTTTTTCCATTATTACCGTTCTACCAAACACACAGTGAGACGGCATTACCATATTTGGTATCTAAATAGCAAACAGTAACAACCATCAATTCATCATATGAATTTTGAGCAAATGAAAGTATGCAAGGAAAATCAGACTAACGACTGATTTGTTACGGTCAAGAACATGGGACATGACGAGCTTTCCCATTAAAACATGGGCATCAGAGTTCGATCCCAAGTGTCAGGTGTCTAGGCATTTCCGAAAAAACCATAAAATAGCCTAGCCCCAAAAGATATCGCTTCCGAATGAAAGAAAACAGAAATCCAGAAGCGGACACTCAGTAAAGAAAAAGAAGAAAATACTACAGGATAAAAGCTACAGAATGATCAGAGGTCAGAACCAGAAAGCAAAGTGTGGCAAGAGTCCAAAAAATCACCAGGTATCAGCCGAACTGCGAGAAGAACAACAGTCTCGGACATGGAATTCTCTTGCCAGTGACGCTGCCGCTAAAACCACCCAACTAAGCTGAGCCCATTTGCGAGGGGAACACCGAAGTCAGAGGGAGCAATGGAGGATCATGAAAAAGGATATTAATTAGATGTGAAGAGAAGTATTGGATCTGAGGATGACGACGTTGACTAGTTACCAAAGCTAGTGTTTGTGTCCGCCAGTAAGGTTCGGTTCCTAATCCCTAATGTCTCGCAGGCATAGAAAGATTTTACGCTTCCGAGCATTCACTCTTTTGTCTTTCCTCTTCTGTTTTTCCCCCGTGTAGGACTTAGATGTCATCCTCCCATGATACAGTCCTATAATTCACTGTGTAGCGCTTAGCATCCCAAATGCCTTGAGCGGTTGGCAACATCTAATCATTTATACGCAGTAGCCAGTTTTTAAGTGAAGGCCACGTGATTCACGTCACCCCTCATCAAAAAAAAATAAAATTATTTTGACTAATTTTACTTCAACTTCTTATCCTCAATATAAAAATTAATTGATTAATTTAAAAAAATTAAAAAAATTAGTTAAATTAATTATTTATAATAAATATGTGCTGTTTTTTCTATGATATCCTTACTAATAAAATATATTGACTAGAAATACCACTATTACAAAGATTATCTTAAAAAAATAATAAATATGATAAACCAGTGGATTGGGGTTTTATATTTATGATCAAAATAATTAAAGACTAATTTTTAATATAAGACATCGTTTGACTTTTATTTTGGTTCTACATATAAGACTATAATCCACTTTGTCTCTCATATTTATGTATTTTTTTCTCAAGGTAGTCCTTCTAATAATAATAGTTCTAGCCAATATACTTAATTAGCAAAGATATTTTATGAAAGATAATACTTATTTATTACAAATAATTAACTTAACTTATTTTCTTAATTTACTTAAATTAATCAACTACCTCTTATATTTAGGATTGGAGGTGGTATTACAATACTTTGCAACCATCGTTGAACCCATAAATATAAATAAAACATTAAATTTCATAAAATATATATAGGGGAATCAAGTATATTGTTTTAGATCTTGCTTAAAATTATTTAAAAATAATTTTTTAATCATAATTTATGAAATATGATATAAATATGTGTGATGAGAGTTCTCAACTTAGGTGAAAGTTCTTATAAGCACTTATCAATTGCAGATATAACAAGCCCTTAAAAATTATTGTATATTATTCATTGTTTAATACTCCTCCGGTCCTTATTATAAGACCCAATTTGACTTTTTATTTGGTCCTAATTATAAGACCCAATCCATTTTGTTTCTTATATTTATACATTTTTTTCCAAGATAATCCTTCTAATAATAATAGTTTTAGCCAATATACTTAATTAGTAAGGATATTTTAAGAATGACAACACTTATTTATTATAAATAACTAACTTAACTTACTTCCTTAATCTCCTCAAATAAGTCAATTGGGTCTTATAATTAGGACCGGAGGAGTATATATTTATTCTAAAATATGGATAACAAACGAGTTCTTATAATTAACATGAGAGGTAGTATTTGTTATCAATAAAATTATATCTTTTCCCCTTGAATATTTTATACACACACATACATACGCTATTTTACGCGTCAAATTATCAGCTATAAAGGAAAAGGACAAACATATGGTTATGGTTGATGATCATGAATATGGGCTATTTTCCTAGTTCTGAAAAGAAATTGGAAAGCAGGACTTTCCTTGGGCGGCCTCGAATTTCCAAATAGATAGGCTGCCATTGGATTTTGTTTACTAAACTGAACTAAACATGCCCGCATTTACTGGAACTATAATGGACAAACTGTCCATAGCATCTCAGGGCTGGCAGATATTAGGCTAAATTTTGTTTTATTAATTATTTCATTATTTAGATGGGACCACGGAATCAGCATGCCCCTGTTTAGGATAGATAGTGGTAAAAATCTCTTATAAAAACGTTTTACGTAAACTGAGACAAAATTCTTTTTATATATTTCTCTCATATTCTGTAAATCACGATTAAAAAATTATTTATAAATTGTTCTAAACAGACCCTTAGTATGTTTATCAAGTGGCACTTCTGCACGTATCAAAATGTTTGTTAATTGTTTAATCAAAATATTTTTACATGAAAAATAAAGTAAAAGACTGATACTGTTTTCTCTTGTACACGAATAACTAGATACTAGTAAAACACCTAGTTTATACTATGAGCTCAAAAAAAAAAAAAACATTTAGTTCATGCTACCATAACTTCTTAATATAAACTAATTCAACGGCCCAGGGAAAATCTCATAGTCTTAAAACTAACGACCAAGCTCAACCATATCACATACGTCCCAGCCTTAATTTTTTTCTCTTCTAGATGATAGAAAAGGGGCTTCAGGTAAAATAACAAACCAGCTATTGACGAAGCTGATTGGAATTGGCAAGACTTGATAGAAAAATAATCCTTTTTTTTTTAATATGACCACATTGTGTTAAAAATATCAGAAAACGACGAATACCTGGCATCAGAGGAACACAATGAGAATAGAGCGGCTGATGAATCCGACCCATGTCTTGGACATACATAGCCGCGAAAAGGCCAGGTGTCAACGTCAGCGGAAAATGAAGCCTTGACTGTTTAAGGAGATAACCTTACCTGGAATTTTAAAAATATAACTAAGGACTAAAATTTGTCTAGACATGATTTATGAATCAAGATCCGTTAAATAGAAAAACGGAAAGTTGTTGGCCAAAAATAATTCCATAAACAATGGAAGTTCAGTATAAGTATTTAAAATACCATTTTTCAGTGGATTTAAAATACCTTATAAATAACAAAAACTCTCGGTAAGTTATTTAGCTCCCGTTGCTTATAACTAAGATTTCGATTTTTTTAATCTAAACTTATAATTTAAAAAAATTGTTACATTTATAACCAAATAGAAATACTTTAGTTCATAGTATATATTTTTCTCCAGAGAGCAGAAAAAGATTGAACTGACATACCATTTATATCATGATAATTGCTTTAAAAATAAAATCATTCTATGAATTTTTTTAACAAAAAGTAACGATGCAAAAATATATTCTAATCGTATAGGGAAATAAAATAAATACATCCCAGCGGGCGTCCCCCAGGTGCCCCTCTGGAGGTGTTTTCTGAGTAATTTTTTTTTTTTAAAAAAAGAGAATTATAATCAGCATCAAGAAAGAAATTTAATTATCTTAAAATTTATTGACAACTAAAAAATATGCAATGATGGGTTTCAAATTATTTTACTGGATAGAATTATAATCAGCATCAAGAAAGGAATTTTACTTAATAGAAAATAACAACAGACTTATACTAATCACTTGTCATTAAAATTCTTAGTAATTAAATTATTTTACTGGATCTTATGGTAACCCCCCCCAAAAAAAAAACCTGTCCCTGTACCCCGATCCGCGCCGAACATTTTTTTTGGGTATGCACCAGGGTATCCATCAGAGCGAGCCCAATGACTAATCTCTCGAGTACTGTCGGGCCCATGATGGGGGTGACCCTCCCAGGTACACTTGCTCCATTCCCATCCTTCCAGGAATCGAACCCTAGAAGTGATGGTTAAGGGAACACGACTCCCTTACCAGTCGTGCCAGCGTGCGCTGGTGATCCGCGCCGAACATTTATTCTTCAAAAATATGTCTGTTTATGCATATACAATCGTGCACAAAAATATGTGATACGTCGACAAACAAGCCATGGCACCGTTGTCCATCGGCTTCGGCTTGTAAAGCAGTCCAAACCGGGAGGAGAAACAACTCCGTTTTCATCTTTAACCGGTTAAATTATTTATTCATCCCAAATCATAAAAAATTATCTGTTAAATTTTAAAATGATAAATATGTAAATTTAGCAGATTTTGATATATCAAAATTACTACAAGGGATTTAAAATTCAACATAAACCTCTTTTGTCATTTTTTCTTCATTATTTTTTCCTCAGATACTCTCTAATATAATATTACCTCCAATCCTAAATATAAGATGTAACATAGTACAGATTACATTATCAAAAAAAAAAAACCTTATATTTAGGATCAGAACTAGCCTCAATTTTTGGCAGATGGTTTGGAAACTCAGTGCTTTTCTTGCCAAAGTTTTTTTTTTTTTTGATACAGATTTTCTTGCCAAACTTCACTGCTTAAAAAACCATTTTGTGAATTACATTATCGGAAAAATTGTTCTCTCCACACGTTTGGAGAATTGACTGAGTACATTTATCGATGTTGAGCTGATCACGCCGCACTCAAAATTTTCCATTCTAATAGAGTTTTGTTCTCGTCACCTTAAACTCTTTCTTTTACCATATAACTAAAAGGGCCCAAACTATAGCGTATAACGACCTCAAAAGTCTTACAAAATGTTTCACCCATCAATCCCGCATATTGCGAATTTACATGCCTGTATTCTGTAATAAAATGTACAGACACAAGATACAGGCAGGAGATGTCATAGAGGAGAGCTGGTGACGATGCTGCCTGAAGTTCACACCATCTGCAACGTATTTTCAACAACCAAACAAGATTAGGGGGGGAAAAAAAAAAAAGGAATGCGACATCACAAATTAAAGACGTCACGAAGAATTCAAGCAAGAAAAAATGTGGATACGAAGGATTCCCCTGGCATCTAAGAAAAAATGGGGATTATTGTTGAATGGCATCGGAGATGAACTGGTAAAGATGACAAGAATTTTATGCAGCCAGTAATTCAGGAGCATTCTGGGCTTTGGGAAACTATAGAATAGAGCAGCAAACTAGACGTTACCAGAGCTTCACAGGTGAAATGGGTTAATAAAAGATGGGAAAATTTAAACTAGTTTGCAGTGTTTAGGTCCTCATCAAGTGACAATAAGGGGGAAAAAAAATTTAACAAAAAAGGTGTTTGCAGTATGATCCTTCCCCATCCACAGGTCAAACTTCTAGATGTGAAGAAACTAAAAAATTAATCAGAAAAGTCCACAATATTTACTAAAAACTTCAGTCTTTCAAGTTTCAGAGGAGTGACTAACCGGAGAGGAAGAGCACCAGTACCACATTATTTAAGTAGTTAACACAAGATAAAGCATTCTAAAAAGGTAAAAGAACTATATGATGAATCCAAGAACAACACATCTTGAGGCATCAGTAACTTGGGATTCTAAGTTAGGAAGCTACCAAATTTGCAGTGCTCTGCATTTTAGTGCTTTCATTGCTGCTTTTGCAAACACTTGTGCAGCCTCAGCCTCAGCTTCTGCAGCTTCCGCCTCCCTAGCTGCAGCCTCCGCCTCAGCAATTGCAGCTTCTGCTTCAGCAACCGCCTTTGCAGCAGCTGCAGCAGCTTCTTGGGCTGTCACGCCCTTCATTTTTGATAGCTCTGCGTCAATCTGGGATTTCGAAAGGATGTTGACATTGGTCTTCTCCGCTTTTGGGGAATCTTTGGGCCTCCCTTCCAGGAGTAACAAGTTAGAGTGTCTTCTTTTCTCAGAGATTGCAGAATTTTGAGTGATCCTGTATTTGTGTTTTACCTGTCATTTTTAAGTTACATAAAATATCAATCAATTGAATATATATAGGAATAAATCATTTTTTGTTAGTAACAATAAACAACATCAAACATGTCATGAGGAATATAAGTCATGATGGACAAATTTTCAGTATGATCTCCAAGGCCCCAACCATCATTCACATAAAGTATCATGCATTACAGGTTTGCAGGCAAGGATTCTACTCCTTGGGCCACTCTTCAAAAAGATTACATCCATATGATTAATTATAGCATTAACTGAAAGAAAAATTACCTTAGTCAATTTGCCACTAGCCACCATATGCTTCAGTTTCATTGACAATAACTTTCTGAGGTTCGGTGGAGAACAATAATGCTCCTGCAGAGATGAAAGTTGATATAAAAACCACCTTCAAAGAGACATTGCATGCATATGCACATAAACAAATAACAGGTTCCAGCTGCAGCTTCTACCAAAACTAAAAGCAAAACCATGCTACCTGATAAGATAGACAAAATAAAGCATAAAATAATGGTTGGTTTGACAAACGCCATGTTCTGTGATCAGTGCTGCAGCAAAAGATCACAAGTTCATAATAGATGAGGAAAAAGCAAATGTCAAGGCTTGGTCAATCAAATATCTGATCCCAAAGGGGGAAAACAAAGCTTTTTTTACATGCTGCGGAAATAATTTAGGTGTCATCACTTACCAGAAAATACTTGCAATGAACAATATAAGGACTTAGCAAAAGAGAGAAACACTTGCAAACAGTTTTACAGATTTCTGATGCTGTCGCAAAGCCAACAGCTAAAGAGATACATCTACTTTGTCACAGAATGGTAATACATCAAGTAACAAGCAAAATAACCAAAGGAAAACAAGTTTTGTTCTCTCAGAATATTTACTGTCTATTTCTAGATTTCACAACTCAACCAATTCATGAATTGAGAAAAACTTGATAATGAAACTAAGGCAGGATTTCACTTAATCTTTTTTGCATCTCTAGTTTACAAACATAAACTTTTGAACACCATGTATTTATATTTTGAGATGTTTAGATTCTAAATCATTAGCAGAAAATGTGAAGTATAGATACCTCTATGTAAGCAGCAATAGCAGCCCTGTCAGTACCCTTCGGCTCCTTCAAATTGATTATGGCCTCTAATATAAGATTATCCAACCTGCCATTATATAAAAGCAGTATTGTTACCTGATGAATAGTTATGTTACGCAAAAGTCAGGTCATTCATCTTTCAAACAAGCCTTTCATGGCCAATTAAATTAGATGGGGTAAAATTTCAAAAGTATTCTATTTAGTTGTATTTTATGATGTGAATGAAAAATTTATGACAAAAACACTAGAAGTAATCACAACCGCAGAGTGTACTTTTCCTGATATCACAACAGTTTTGCGATATTTAAACATTTCCGCTCCGAGGATCACAGGTATAAGGAAGACAATATTATTTCCTCATTTAACCATATCACTACAAAAACTTATAGGACTTCGTTGTCATCAGGCAAGACTCCCTTCATCAACCACCAAAAAAACAAAAAAAAGATCCTTGCTAACGCATAAAGTGATGCAAAGATACCAGGAACATATGTAGAAAGTAGCACATCTCCTAATATGAAGAGTTCCACATAATCCAGTTGGAGGCAGTGACCAACCATGAAAGGAGCATGAATTTTTCTTGCTTTCCATTTTTCCCCTTCTCTTTTCCCTACATAGCTTATATAACAATCTCTTTTCATGCATCTTTTCCATGCTTAGATCAAAGTAAACCATGGATTCATTGAAACACTAAAACTCCATGGTACATAAAATCACAATTTGGTTCATAACTAATCACTAGAAAGAGAAGCATCATTGACGGTTTTATAATGTTGGTCCATATGCTAGAAAAGTAGAATGGCAAACCAGCCAACCACAAACATGATTATCCTTTCTCTTTCTTCAGATAATGAATGGCAGGTATATTAACAGGAAATAATGTAACCTAGATATTTGTTCTTTAGGATTAGCAGACTGTGGCATTCCGCCAGCAACTGCCAGAGGCTTAGTATCAAGAACTTCTTCACCATGTTGAACAGCAGTACTCAATGCCATATGGTTGTTATCATTTTTGGGGTTTGGTAGGTTCCTTTTAAGCGCAAGTTTTGCCTTCTGTCTGGATCCCCATATTGCAGTCACATTTATATTCCTCCATTTATCCTGCTCAAAATTCAGAATATATATCAAGATCCATCATAACCTTGCAAACTTTGCAATGGAAGTATGATCATTTGGAAAATTAATTCTACGTTTCTAAACTGACACAATAATTTCTGTGCTGTCCTACTAACCACAGCAAGCTAAGCTCTTGAGTCTTGACATACCTTTAGATCTACATTTGAACGCATGCGCAAAATAGCACTGAACTCTGGGTCTGTAAGTATAGTGCGCCACTTTCCTGCCCCATGTTTGATTACTCCAGCTTTCAGTGCCGCTTCTTCTTCGGCAGTCCATTTTTGCTTTGGAGCCCCCATTAAAAGCAGTTCAGAACCCTTCTCTAACAGTATAATGTTTGCTTCTATTCTATAGGAAGGGTTGGAAGTTGAGTTCTGACTTCTGCATGTTTATCCACAAAGAAGCACTGACTTTTGACTAATCCAATGTGAAGATTTTGATATCTCAACCCAATATGAAGAGTTTGATAATCTACAAGATAAATCAAAATGAAGAAAGTCAGCAAATATAGACCGTTCAAGATTTTTTTTGATTCAAAAAATAAATAAAAACACAACCCATCCTGGAAATAGCCAGCCTAGAAACATCAGCCAGACTTAATTCCTAAATTCACTTCAATCTGATCCACTATACCATAACACTTTGCAAAGGAAGCGCAACAGTGAAAAGAATGATTTTGTGAGGAGAGAAAACTAAAGGTGAATGTTACACTAGCTTGTATGTGAATCAAAAGAGAATATGGAGAAATGAAAATGAGAAGATCTGAACATATGGTTTTAAAATTCTACACACATGATTAACCTTTTTAATCCTATATAATCCACCAAAATTAGTTATGCCTGAAAACATAATTTAAATTTTCTTTTGATTTTCATTTCCCTCATTTATATGCCATCCAAACAAGAAAAGATGAAATTGTTATCTACTACCTCGATTTCATTTCTCTTACTCTCTTTCCCCTCCCGTTTGTTCCCAAATAATCGTAATGTTCATCAAAGATCTACTTCAAAAGGTCCGACAACCAACGTTTCTCGTCAAGAGTAATATATCAGCACTTCATTGCAATGCATGCGCAATTCGGCTTTATGATTGCAAGAAACTAGAGCAAAAACACAGAAAAAGTTACACTACCTATTTTAGCTTCTGCTACAAACAGTTCGAAAGCTAACCACGATTCACAAAAATTGCCACGAACAATCTGAGTATTATGCAACATTCCTAGTCGCAAATAGGGAGGAGGAGGACATAATTTTCGCCGTTTGGAATTCAGTGAGTCGTAGCAATTGGCATTAAAAGAGAACCCCGCCAACAAAAGAAAACTTCCTTCAATCTCCTAACCTCAAATATATACAATCAATAAAATTTGAGCAAAACGATCGTAGCAAATAAGCACCGAATGCATATGATTAAGCTAGTATCACCTACAATGGCACGAGCAGAAAAATAGCGGTTTGCAATTTTATATCTATCCAAATGCGCAACTTTCTTCCAGAAGAGATGAATGAAACACAAAGAAGCAATCGATGAAATAGGTGTACCGCATCAAAGCATCGCGAAGCCGACGAAAATCGGAAAAGGTTATAGTATTAAGGCTGGGAAATCGAACCAATCCAAAGTTTTGCGAAGAACTGGAGAAAAAATAAAAATAAAAACAAAAATAAAAACTCAGCGACCGAGGAAAATGGGTGTTTTATTGATTTATTCAGTTTATTGATATATTTCCAATCATACAAAGCGGAAAAAAGAAAAAGAAAATTATGCCCCCACAAAAATACTTCAAATGCTTGTATTGTGTTTTTTTTTAATCATAAGAAATGCTGGTATTACTTCTTGAGATTATTTTTGGGCCGCATTATTCTGAGAGAATATGGGGCAGAATGGCCTTTTTCAAGTTGTTTTTTTAATACTCCTCCGATCCTAATTATAAGACCCAATTGATTTATTTGAGGAGATTAAAGAAGTAAGTTAAGTTGGTTATTTATAATAAATAAGTGTTGTCATTCCTAAAATATCCTTGCTAATTAAGTATATTGACTAAAACTATCATTATTAGAAGGATTATCTTGGAAAAAATGCATAAATATAAGAGAGAAAATGGATTGGGTCTTATAATTAGGATCAAATAAAAAGTCAAATTGGGTCTTATAATAAAGACCGGAGGAGTGTATATATATATATATATATATATCCCCATTTCGTTTGACTTTTCCATCTGCGATTGATTTTATTTGCATTTGAAAAGATAATTGTCTAGTCAGAAAAGTCAAGATAAAAAAAAATTGATTTTATTTTCGATGTGGAATTCATTTTAGAGATAATGTGCAAATTTATTCTGAAAATTTTGTTGGGTACAAATTTTTCACAAAAATTTAAGATCATAACAATATTATTTTTTATTATTAAAAATGTTAATATTACTATATTATTATTAACGGTTAATGTCAGGTTTTTAATAGTATTAGGTAACATTGTTTTGATTTTAAATTTTTGAATGTCTAATTCTCTCGAGTGAAATTTTTTAGAACAAACTTGTATTTTAACCTTTGATCTTATTTGCTCACAGTTCTTTTTGCCAAGAGTGATATCTAGATTTAAATACAGTTAATGAAAAAATTACATTGATTTTATATAAAAAGAAAAAAGATCACTTTGAGATAATCACCCAAGAGAAAAAAAAATTGATGGTCCATTAAAATATAAAAAATTATTTTGATAATTTATGCCCACATATTAAATTAAACATTTATATTTGCAAGTTGAATTGCATTGTTTATAAATCACATCTGTAAATATTAAATAAAATTGGCATATATTTTTTTATTTAGAATCTATGATTAATTTTATCAAACAAAGAATGACAGTAGATGAAATTTTTGTTGGCAAAATTGATTAAAATTTCTTATTAGAGAAGTAGTTGTCCAAAGGTCGCTCGAATTTGTACAAGGATACAGGTGCAATCTATCTTTAAAGGCTGTAACTCTTTTTTCAGATGTGCTCAATTTATTTTTAGTTATTTGCAAAATGAAAGACTTAACAGATTGAAGATACGTATGTTGTATACAATTGAAAAAAGTTGCATAGATGGAAAATTATTTCCAACCACTTAAGAATCTGTTTCTTAGATATCTTTGCACAGTTAAATTTTTAAACAAGAATTCTTTTTGTCAATTTCCCCTAACTTTTATTCCATTATTTTATCTTAAAAACTATTTTTATTTTTTATTTTGTGACAATTTACAAGTTATTTAATTAATATCAAGATCGATTATAACTAACAAACCATTATCATTATAATTAATGTTTAAAATTGAAGAAAACTATAAAGACCAAATTAAAAATCATGAAGCCTACCTGACAATTTTCTCTTAAATAGAACTCCAAAAAAGTTCAGGTTAAAAACAACCTTGATGCATGTGCATGCATGGATACAAATGAAGGAAATGGCGAAACCGCGAATTTACTTACCAGGATCTAAAACTGCCGTCATTCTGTTAGCATTTTCGGCTTCGCTTGGTGTATAGTTGACGATCCGGGCTCAAGCGTGACTGGCCTCGAGATAATGGCTTCTTGATTTTGGCGAATACCCTGCAGTGGGCGGCGAGCCGGGTCGTTCCTTCGGCAACGGGTTGGCCCCTCTGTGCCGACCCCTCTATTTGGACGTTGGTGGAGGCCAAACCAGGCGAGGTTGGTACGGCTTCTGGAATTCCTGAGGAACACCTCCTGAGGAGGGTATTCTGCTCAATGTTCTTCTATCTCATTTTTGGATTTTATTAAGCGTGTTCCCAAGAACAGGACATTGTAGAAAGCGTAGTTACAAACCCAGAAGAATGATCGACTTTAAATATTGGGCATTATCCTCTTTCTTAACGTCATTTTAGTTTGACAAATAAATCTAAGGATTCATGGCTCTCGGGTGCGATACTAAGCTGGGACATAATTCATTATAACGAATTAACGAGGTTTGCGATTGGTGGTTAATACGCGCGCGGTGCCTTGAATTGGTAATTTTAGCCTCGTGATGCCGCCTCCGGATATATACGTGCACTAAATAAGAGTTTATATTACTGAGGCATCATTAGATGTACCTTTTGACGTCTTTCTTACCGGCTCCTGTAACTCTGTTGGCTATTTTTCTTCTATCACAATTATAATGTGATGCAGGTTGTGATTTACTCGCCTGCCAGAACTGCAGCTCAGCAAGGATCTGGCAAAGTTGAGAGATGGAAGATCAACTTTTTGTCAACCCATAAGTATGTATGTTTTGTCTAGTGTTTCTCTTACTTTTTATTTGCAACTTGTCTTGCCTATTAGTTTCAGTTGGAGAATTTGGATTCTTTTCCTGACATAGTTCCGTCATGAGATATTATAAGTTTCTTTGTAAGTAGGACAATTTAGCGTTTGCATCTACATTAGGATATCTATTGTTTGCCAGTACCACTTTTCTGATTGAAATTAATTATACTGTTGGAATTTATGACATCACTGACATTTCCTTGCCAACAAAAACCTTCAGAAGCACAAATATTGATGTCGAACCAATTTCAATTCTGATTTTACTCTGGACTTCCTATTATATTTTGAGCTACTTAATTGTTCGATTTCAACATATTACACTGAGTGTAAGCTTATTTAGTGATATTTTTGTTTGAACCAATTGTAATTTTGCAATCCCTTTCAATGTGTCAACAATTTGTTATTGTCAACTAATCCATCTATTTATAAGTGGGAACATCCATGGCGACCCTTATTTATGCCAATGTAGGCGATTCTGCTTTGAGTGTTGATAATGAAGAAGCAGCAAAGGCATTTGCAGAGAGGCATGGTTGGGAATATGTGGTGAGTTTTGCTGGTCCAAGATTGAATAACTGATAAGATTGTCTTGTCTGTTGATTTTTGGACGCCTCTTGATATCGTTCTTGTTTGTTATTACCATGAGCAATGACAACATTGTTGTCCCGTGAACGATTTATTTATTAATTGTTCATGGTCCTATGACGATATTAAGTCACAAGATTTCAATCTTCTCTCTCTAATTTTTAGCCAGCGGCACTATAATTTAGAACATTTGGCGCCTTTTGCTAAATTCCCTTCACCAGTCTTCTAAGAGTATCTTTCGTTATTAGTCCTCCCAGTTGGTTCTTCCAGTCCACATTTGAACAGTACATAACCTGTAAGAGGCTTCCATTTCATTTCAAGCATTGAAGACGCCTAATCAAGATGTGAATCTAGCAAAAGCGGAGTCCGAGGACGGTAGCAAAAGCAAATGAAACGAGGGGGGCAACGTACACCGAAATATGAGTGCACGTAGGTCCTAATTACCAGATTTTACATGTCATCCGAAGGGGTAAGAGTAGGAACACTGTCATGCATATTATCACTGATTATTAACCTTCCGATGAATCAGCCTCTTGAAACGACCTTGCAAATATATCAAGCGTGGTGATAAAACTGAAATAAGATACATAAGTCAAAAATAATTAAATGTCCATCTTGTGAATAAGCGATGTTCTTTGAAGGAGCTTGTCTCGAATCGAAGGCAAGGACAAAACCTCGTGAATCCTGCTTTAAAATTATTCCTTCACTTGTTGACCCCGGGGGGGGGGGGTTGGGGGGAATCAACCTCGAAAGCATCTGAGAGAACGTTCATATTTCATAACGATACCAGAGCAAATGCAACTTATGGAATAAATAAACCGGTCGGAACTACCGATTGGACAACTACAAGATTATTGCCCGCAAGATTACATAGTCCCTTTCCTAAACCAACCAAAAAAAAAAGGGAAAACGCTAATCCTGTACAAATTTCCTACCAACAGTAATTCCACTTCTGTCGGGTAGAAGCCTCTTCATATAATACTTGGAATTACGGGAGAGATTAATTTTGCCCCTTCTCTTCTCCGGTATATAATCAATTGAACATTCTGAAAATCCACGTCTCACAAACCTGTCAAGCATTAGTTGAAGACCTTTTCTTGAGACAAGCCCTACTGGGGCTAATAACATGCTTGAAAGTGTACGATGAACATGCAAATGACAAGGTTATGAACCTACCAACTCCGTCATACCCCGCACCCAATGCACATTTTTATACCTAGAGTCTATAAGACTAACAACGGATGACCATAACTTTCCAGAAAAATATCATTCTTCACACAATCTTTGTGGCTTTTTCCCTTGGACCAGCTACAATCATTTGAGTTAGAATAATCAATAACCTGGTATCAAATCATCTATGACCAAGGTGGTTTTAAAATGATCCTTGAAATAACAGACCATGATTTCTTGGAATGAAAGTGAAGAAAAAATGCAGAGATTTTAAACAAAAAAGGGGTTAATGAACAAAAGGAGAATCCAAGACCAAAAGGAAAACATGCTGAAAAAAGCGGCAATATCCCCTGTACTCCTATGAAATGCATTTAGGATAGTTCCATACCAATCTGCTGTACGAGTTGTAAGCAGGAAAAGCATGTTCAACCCAAGAGACGAAGCCTTCTTCTCAATATAGTCTGCGTATATTAGGTCACAGGCTTAAATAAACACTGAAGGAAAAACATGTGACAAGCAGCTAGGCAGAGAAACAAAATCAAAAGACTACAATAATACAGCTGTTGGATTAAACTTCCTTTAGGAAAGCACCATAATTTTTAAAACTCCGTATAAATTAATAAAACATATGCCCTCATGGACAAGAGGATTTTCAGGCTTTAGCTGCTGGCTGTAGATCAAAATTGCTAACAGCTGAAAATACAACAACGAAAAACATAATTTAAAAATGGGTTTAATAAAGTAATGATTCAAAGTGGCTTGTTCGCATTGTATAATTCACACATTGAAGCACCCTACAGTATCTAAATCACCAATGTGCTGAGAGCCAGAACCATATAAATGAAAAGATGACAATTTCACACATCAAAATAAAGTTAAACATACCAAGCAATTTGTCACCCTGTCCTTGTCCTCGGCAGTCTGGCGATACTGCAATGGCAGCAACCTCTCCACACTTCTCCTCAAAGAAAGGAAAAAGAGCAGCGCATGCAATTACTTGACCCTCCCTTTCCACAACAATGAATGAATCCACTGATTGATGCAACTATAAACAGAAAATGGTAAATTTGAGATGCTACATGACAAATTTACTACTTACAGACATATAAGCAGCGACATCTAATGCAGAAATGAAGGATATAAAAACAGAAGCTAGAAAAAACCTCCTCATCAGTCCTCTTAACCAATACACCAGATGCCTCCAAAGGCTGAATAAGTTGTTTTATTCCAGGAACATCTGCTACCCGAGCCATCCGAGTGCCTTCATACAGATCACTACATTGATAATGAGCTTATAAAATCAATGACTTCACGAGATAAAATTTCCCAACAGAAGAAAAAGAAAGCTTTACCAGGTATAACCACATCAACAATATGACCTAGATAGCCTACTGCTAGGAGCTTCAAGGAAGATAGTCAAAGGCAAAGAGCGCCATTGAAGCACTAGACCTCTAAAGCACCTAACATAAGAGGCACAAAAAAGATACGCATCCAAGCGACTAGGTCTATAACTTCCTAAATTATCCTATTACTATTTTATATCTTTGGGCTGGATTTATATAAGCCGATCCTTTTCTTGTTGCCCTATAAGCATGCAGACACAAAAGGTGCATGATCATAACCCTTGAAAAAGTTAAAAAAGGGAAAGCGAGCCAAAGGCACTCGCCCTGCAGTGCCTGATTGCAGTCGCTATGAATGGCATTGGCCATGAAGAGCACCTCTGCGCCCTAGACTTCATTAGCTTCAGGCAGGCCTTCCTCTGTATTAGATTTAACAGGGTTGATCCCATGAACACTGGAGGATTTGTTAATGACTTAATTTTGGGGGTTTTACAAAGAGGAGAGTGGGGAAGATCTTTTTCAGGAACCTGACAATTTTGCCATGCCATGGTGAGTCTCCATAGCGAGGTAACAAGACACAGATATGTTGAACATGTGCAATCCCTTCACCACTGATTAGATACCACTTGCATTTATGTTTGCACTAAAAAAGGCTGTAGGAGATGTTGTAAGGGGGAGCTTATGATTACCATTGATTCAATATTGGAGATTCTCCACTTGGGTTATTACAGGAATGATGCCTTTCATATTCTGGCGCTAATTATCTCTAGTAACATCTATTTCTTTACCGTAATCCCACCAGTCCCTGTCAACCACTCGGATAGTGATCCATTTCAATTAACTACTCAACTTAATTTACAATCTATATATTCACAGGAGAGAAATGAATGCGTAAAACTTAGTCAGATCATATTCTCACACAATCAGGTAAAATTAATGCCACAGGGGTCATCTAGAAATGCATACCTGGCCACCATTGTTCCCATCCCATCTCTTTTAAACAATTCCAACAGCAAAACTCCGCTAATGGTTCCATCTAATAAGTGAACTCTTTGAACACCTCCCTGACAAAAGTTGGATGGCACTATTAGAAATTGAGTCACAAAAACTGGAATTATAAGCATCACCATCCCATTTCAACAAAATGATTCCTTAAATAGACTAAAATGTCAAGGGACACCAAGTATTGTACAGTAGCAATTATTGTGCATTATAGTATCAGAAACATGCCAACAACATCTGGGTAATCTCAGAGTGGTCTTGATTTGGCAAGTGCTTGCATTCTCCCAACAATTTGCATATAGTTATAACAATTTCTCATGTAGAAGGTGACACTCTTAACGGCACTTGTTGGATATAATCCAGGAAACACAGAACATAGTACAATATATCCTTATATGAGGTAATCTGTTGGCAGTTTCACCCCTAACATGTGATGTAGCTGAATTACAATAGATAGACTATTGATTTTTGAGACTTGGTGATGGAAGGTGACAGAGGGTGAGAGGTTAAGCAAGAGGACGAGAGGGATCCCAAAACACAATGTACTTACTCTGCAAACAAAAGCTGCTGCAGCCAATTCTGACAGGTAACCATTCATTCTACTTAGCCGCTCTTGACCTCCAATAGCAAAGCCTTGTTCACCAGACCATAGGCCATTCCCATTGCCGAAACCAACACCATTATGAAAGGTTGCATTATGGGTTCTGGTAAGAGCATCTCCATTCTGTGTGGAATGAGCTGTTCCATTAGAACTTTTATAAGCAAGAGAGCCGAAATTATCCTCATCAATAGCTTTGACATAGTTAGCAGCTATTTCACTTTGCTCAGCCCGTTTACGAATCAACAAATCTGCTTCTTGAAGAGGCAAGTAACAAATAAGGCGTCCATTCTCATCAAGTATTGGACCATCTATGATGCAAATAAGCTTGTCTGCTCCAATAGCTAAAGCACAAGCGGTTGCAACTTCATAGGTGCTGGAGGGGTGGAAAGGTCATCAGTATATAGTCTTGGGACAAGAACTAAAACTTAACACTCGAAATACTCATGCATATCTATTCGTATTTCATAAGACAAGGAAGCAGATGACTCGCATAGAATATGGAATTCCCATTGCATAGAATATGGAATACCCATTACGCACTCATACATGAATACCAGATAACAAGTTTTACAAGAGCATATCCCAAAAACAAATAGCAGGAGATGAAGTCAGTGCTTCACTAAGGATACTAATTTAAGGATTACATTTTCTTTCCTCTTTTTCTTTTGGGGGGGGGGGGTGTTGAACAAGTAGGTAACATAGAATTTAATAATTGAGAACATATCATATCTTAGGATGCCATCACATAAGATGAAGTTGTACTGCCTTTTTGTTGGCCTGGTAAAGCTACTACTGGAAGCCCTAAAACATACTTGCAATTTAGTACTTCTCCGGAGCTGGAATAGCCAAGGTTACTTAAAAGAACTATACATCCACCATCAAGCCTCTCACGCATGCGAGAAACATCTACTTTTTTAACTTCTCCAGTTGACCCATAGTCGATTCCATCAACAACCCCCCTTCTCTGCCAAGCAAAAAATTACAAATTGTTGCTTACAATGATACAAACCAAAGACAGAGACGCAGCCTTAGAATGTTGTTATCATGGTGGCAGTTGACATGAATCAATGCTTTAACAGTGAAACACAAAATTCAAACCTTAGCTGCGAGAAAGTTACCACTAGCAACACTGACACCAACTTCATGCAAGCGACTATTGTCACCGTGTCTACGAATATTGCATATGGACGGTCCAGGAGATAGTTTTGCTTCTAACATCAATCTGATTCCTCCCGCTGCTTCCATTGCAGCAGCAAGAGATTCATCATCAGTAATCCTATACGGACCAACATACTTAGGTTGGCTCCCTGCAATAACATGGTAGTTGATCATTCACAAATTAAGGACTCCTCTCTCCTTTTTGCTTGGGAGAGGGGAAGGAGGATTGGCTAAAAGCCAAAATAATAAACAAGAGTGATCTATTGAGAACCATAATAATGACAAAATAATTGCTAAGTATGGGCCAAATGTTATTTTCCAGCTATTAGATTTTACTATGATCATGCTTATTATCACACAACTCAAATCAACCTGGTTAAAAGTTATTAATCATTAAACAAGTTATTATTTTAACCAAATAAACATGAAGTTATGGAAAAATATTACTTTATACTTGCCTACTATTGTGTCACTATTATGGTTCGTATGTTCAAGTTCATAAGGTGATCACTTAATAAGCAATGACTAAAAATATAACGTAATCAACGAAAGCATGGATTCCAATTTTCTAACGAGTGGAGGAAAGAGGAAAATTAGATCATCAGCCTAAGTCCACACACACACACGGCCCTGCAGCTGACACTCGAGAAGAAGCAAAAAAGCATAAGCAACAATTTTTACCAACCTCTCTCAGTCAAAAGCTTGTCTATTTGCACATGGGTCCCCGGTACAAGAACAAACCGAATTCCCAGATGATGAAGGAAAGCTATATCCTGCAAGCAGAAACGTGTTTATTATATAGGCCGCTGAATTGAAGGGGATAGAAAAGATTTTAAATGGTGCAAACTTTTTAGATATATCATTTCGACAAGTGCTAAAAGAACCAAAGAGAGTTTAAATTTTGGCATAAAAGAAGGACCTGCCTTGAGAATGGGATCTAAGAAAGGACTAGCCACAATTTCACCGGAAATAATCACGACGAAGGTGCCACCCCTATGGGCCCATAAGTAAGGCCAGGCCTCGCGAAACCAGCGCACAAATTGCTTGTCTTCCACCGTGCTATAGCTCTCATCTTCCTCGCTCTCTCCCAAATCTTCGCTGAACACATTGCATTGGGTTGAAGTGCCCTTATCGAGCTTTGCTCCAGCATCGGCGGCTACAGCTAAGGGTTTTAGGGAACGAAATTTTGCATCCAGTTGCGAGTAGAAATTGTGAGCAGAACAGCACAGGCCGGTACGTAAGTGGATACCTGGAATTTTGGGAGGGCTGCGAAGAGAAATGCAAGAGCTCGATATTGAAGCCGCCATCGAGAAGCTATCAAGAATAAACAAAATGTCACGATGCAGGGCTGGGAAGACTATCGAACGAGAAAATTGCATAGGGGACGAGAGGCTGCCCTGGCGGCAATGATGGGACCCAAATCTTAAAAATTATTTAGTTTAATTTAATTTAACCGAGATTAAAAGATTTAAAATTCATTTGCAGTTTCCCGATTAATTTAGTATTTACGCCCGCGGGAGAAGTCCTAAAGTTTGAAGTTTGAACATAAACTTGAACGGCTCGTCCGGAATTGGAATCTGGAAGTAGATAGCCAGATGCCGAATCTTGGGGCGCTTCCGTTTATAAATTTCGAAGTTCGGACACACGCACGCACTTTTGTTTTTTCCTTTTTTTTTTTTTAAACTAACTTCATTCATGGAGGTTAGGCGGGTCAGGGATCACATTTCTCGTAGTATTTTAAAAACAGAGGAATAGATTTCCTGCATAACTAGATAAGAATTTGAAATTTTAAAAATTGTATTTAGTTTATTAATATATAATTTATAACAAAATATGTTAAAAAAATTAAAATTTGCGAGAATCTAATAAAATCAATTTGAAAAAAGTAAAACGAAAGTAAGTACTCCTGCAAGAGTGTGATTTTTGTATTAATTTTTATGTTAAATTGATAAGTTGATCTTGAGTAGACAAGTTTTTTATTGCACAGGTATTCAGTTTTTTAAGAGATAAATGGCTCTTTTTGGACTATTTCACGACCAAGTGCAAACATTTAGGTCCTAAATTATTTAGTGACATGATCGATAAATTCGCTTTGGGTTGAGAAGCATTTTAATGCTTGAAGTGTTTATAAGAAACTAATTGACACCCTAAGCTAATTTCTATTTTAAATTACATCAAAGTTGTTATTGACAACTGAAAAAAGATAATATTGCATTGACTTCGAAAGAGCATAGGTTGTTGTTGGCCAAAAAAAAAAAGTAAGAGTATGGGTTGCTTTTTCTTTTTCATTCACTCACCCACCCAATTACCCTTTTTGAATAGGAAGGACTCTCCCAGGCACATTCAAAATCGAACAAAAACAGAGGATGCCATCTAGCCCAAGAGGCTTTAGCAGGATCCTTTTTAGACCTCCGGGCTGTGGACGTAATCGATCCGTCCAAACTCCAAACGAGATTGCTTTTGTTTCCAGTTTGGATAATATAATTTTTAATTTTTTTAATTTATTTGCATTTTGATTTTAGCTTCTCAAATTTTAAATTATAGGTTTTGATTGATTAACAGATAAAATAGTCCAAATTTTTATAAAATTATAAATAAAAAAATTTGAGGTGGTTTGAAACTTGAGAATTAAAATCTTGAGGATTTTTGAATTAACGCTTCTGGTTCATTGTGGACTTGTGGTCCAGAGTCCAGGCACATTTATGTTCCAGTTTATCAAAACGCAAACACCCGTGGGAATGAGATCCGCAGGCGATAAAGATCAAAAAAGTCTGAGCCTGCAGGACGCAATTTCGTGCAACCGCCGGCTGTTCCGGATGGCGGTTGAAAACCCACCATGGACAAAGAGGATTAGCTCACCACTATTGAGACATTGGTTTATCTCTCTCGGGTCAAGGAAGAAATCAGACTTAAGGAGGGAAGATTAAATTTGACACAGTAGAAGTATTGAGGGATAGAGGTTAATATCAGATTGGCGGCTATGATGAAGGGATAAAATTGTGAAAATGCACCAGAGCGATAAGAAGCTTGTGTGAAGAATCTAGGGTGTTCTCGGTCACCGCCAAGAAGGACAATATCTATCTGCCTGTCTTCTTAACATGTGTTGGATTTGAATTGCTAGTGTTTTCATCCCACTTACTCCCCCATTTTCATATTTATCAACTAGGCCATTCCTATGGTCTACTGATTTGTCCACAAGTTCGCCTTGTCGACTCACCTGGGACTATTGCGCTTGTTAGTGACAGTGACACATCCCACCGCTACTAACAAAAGGACAAAAAGCCTCTGTCGGCGGGGAAATCTCGTCGGAGTAAAACATTCCGGCCACCGGAGGTCAGAACGACTATTCGGTCCGTCGACAAAAGTATTGAGCCCGTCAACGGCTGTGTGTGTGAGAGAGAGAGGAAGAGAGGGAGGTACCTTGAGAATGGCGTCCAAGTGAGGGCTGGCAATCATTTCAGCAGTAATGAGGAGGACGAATATGCTGTCTCTGTGAATAGAGATGTAAGGCTGAGCCTCTCGCAGGACCTTGACGAACTCTTTGTCTTCGTCGGAGGTACCGTAGTCGTCTCCTCTGTTCTGGTCCCACTCGCTTCCTTTCACCACAAATTCTGCGGCTTTCTTTCTGGTTTCCGACCTCCACATAAAACCACAAGATTTTGCTCTGGCCCCAACATTGAAGGCCTGAAAATTAAGGCCGCCTGAAAGCCAGCTTTCTCTTCGGCTTCTCAGCCACGCCGGTGGCTTTGAGCTTGAACTACAGGCAGCCATTTCTCTCTGCATTTGGACCAGCAAATTCACCTCACAGGGTTGGGGGGGACGCAGGTTATAGAAGCGTGATGGTACATTCAGCCGGCATGATTGATATTTAAAATTAACTATTTAATTCAACTCATTATGATTAAGATAGATACCTCACTCTAAAGCACCGTGATCCAAACGATTTGAGAATATTCCGAGTTAGAAACTGTAAGAAAATAAGTGAATCATCATGATTCCCGCACAACAACAATAATAATGAAAAACACTAGAAAGACAGGATGTTGAAGAGAGTAATATTCTATCAGGCAGTTAGCAGTAAAGGTTAATGCTTTTTTTTTTTCTGCGCTAAAAAAATAATGAGTCCTGTCACTGGATTTATCGAATAATGAGTGGTTATTTTAGAGTTCATTAAAATTATTATCGTTCTATATCTCCTATGTTGTTGACATTTCAAGGCGTTTAGCGGTGGGGAGCCTCTTTTTAGAGATAAATATGACTAGCGATATTAGCGTTTTTTACAAGGGAATCTCTGTTTTTATTTGGGATAATGACATGTTTGATCTTCTCAAAAAAGAAATACGTACAAAACGAAAGAATTGGCTGACGCGGCGAAACGGTGATGTTGGGAAGAAGGTGGTACATAATACTACTTCCGATGCTAATTATAAAATCTAATTGATTAATTTGAGAAAATTAAAAAAAAAATTAAATTAATTATTTATAATAAATAGGTGTTGTTTTTCATAAAATATCTTTACTAATCAATTATATTGGTTAGGACTACAATTATTAGAAGGACTACTATTTATTTTGATCTTAAATATAAGATCTCAATTCATTTCGTCTATTATATTTATCTATTTTTTCTCAAGATAGTCATTCTAATAATGATAATTTTAGCTAATAAACTTAATTAGTAATGATATTTTAGGAAAAACAATATCTATTTATTATAAATAATTAATTTATTTTATTTTTTTTCCTATTCAAATTACTTAACTAAGGCAAGAGGCACTACTACGTTAACAAAACATGTAACGAGAAGGAGAATAAGAATTGGCAGCTAGCTTGTGCGTGAGGTGGACCGCACAGAAGGCAAACGTGTGAGATACGCGTAGGTGAGTGAAGAGTGAAAACTGAGGAAGGGCGTAACTTGCTCAAAAGTTGCAATCCCGGGGTAGAAGGCTATTTCGCTGCTATCGAGCATCTTATCTCGACGCCTTTCATCTTTATCTAAACGACAAAATTTGAAGGAAGGCGTTTGAGGCTGATATTTTGCAGAATAATTACCAAACAAGAATGACACGAGTGGGGCAAACGTCGAGTCACCCTAGCTAAAAGTGGGGGCCGTTCCACTTGGGTGATAATTGATACACCCATAAATCCAAGGGGCAGAAAGGGTATCTTCAAAAGAAGCCATTCGCTGTGGCCTTGGGCATTAGGGATGCTTGGATAAAATTAAAACTATGGTTTCAGAAGTACTTTTACGGTATACAAAGTAAATATGTGAAAGAGATTGTCTCGATTTGCGGAAAAGTGATTCTGAAAAGTGATTTTAAGGGCATCCAAACACTCCCTATCTGTGATTGTCCTTTCTCGTCTGTCATCAAATGAATGACCACGCTCCCAATCGGTCCTTGACATCCCGGTACCTTACCAAGTGGCATTTGCTCTTCAAAGCCTAAAGATCTCACCAGAGATATAAAATTGTGCTCTACAACATCTCACCACATATTCCATCATCGGCGTCTCCCAGTCTAGAACAATCAGAAATGTTTGTTTGGTTCTGAGTGTTCTAGAGTCGGCTTGGTTGATGGAAGCATGCAAGCTTCTAAGCTGGCTTCGCAACTCTATTTGGCCGTTTGAGAATCACATTCGAAGCACTAGAAAAGCTGAGAAAAAAGCAAGATGGCCGTTGATTTTACCGCTAGTCACAGCTTTGGTACCACGGAAGAAGCTGTCCCACTGCTTCTTGGACAGGGAATTCAGATATTAAGTTCACCAGAGATTTGTGGTGAGGAATATAAGTTGGGTTTTACATATACATGGGACATGACGTGTCTTCTCCTCTCTTTATACATATTCTCACGCGTTGCCAAATCCGGTGAAGCATAGTTCTGGACAATTATTCACGGATTGTGAGAAGCTGAGCTCTTAATTGACGGTGGAATGAGATGCACTTATTTTATCGACGGTAGAGAATTCGCATCCAACAATAACCAGACATTAGTCAACTAGGCCAAAAGAAAAGTGGAAGAAAAGGGAAGGGCAAACATTCAAATGTCAAAATATTCAGACAATAATGGAGTCTTTTAAAATATCTGAGTCATACAAATACATTTCTGGGACCAGTTGTGGTCTGTGATAAAAGCTAACAAGAAATCCTACTGCTCAATCACAGAATACTTCAAAGAAGATGCCAATGATGCTGGCTCTTGGAATGACCGCGAAGGAGCTTAACAGACACCTCTCTTCAAAAGCAAGCGTCCAGCAGACAACAGCAGCAGAGTGCCGCTAAGCTGCAAGATACACAAACAAACTAGTAAGTTTAGGCTTTCAAGGCTAATTTATGTGCAATTTGTTGCATATTACATGTGACTTTTCTCATATGCAACAAAGAAGGACAATGACAGTAACACAACAAACAACACCGGAACAGAGACATTATATTTGCAGAGAACAACAATTGTATTTTGATTTACAATCTTCATGCGTTCATATTTTTGAGAGTATTCTGGAAATATTTCTACGATTCCATCCGTAACAATTTTTTCTCAACATTTTCGTTCTTGTAGACAGTTGACAGTCCATTTTTTACGGGAACCTTCTTACAAAACGGAACAGGACTTTAACTCACGAAGAGAAAAGAAAGACAAAACCTCTAGTGGATAGCCACTATGAGTTACGAGGGGGGGGGGGTAAAGAAAGCATGAAAAGAGCATAATATGTTGTATTTTATAATCCGAGCTAAAGACCCAAGAACTTCAATGATCAAACAAGGTTAGGCTCAGCTCAATTGCAGCCCAACTGATTTAGCGAGTTAAGTTCCTGCCGTGAATAAATATCTATCCAAAACGTACTAGACAGATTTCTTGAAATAAAGTAGCGCATTTGTCCAGAAGCAATCCTACAAGAATTTCACCAAATCCATCATGTACATGCACGAGAAGGAGAAGGGCGTACCATCCTTCAAGAAAACCAGTCTCTTGCCTAGGCGGTGGGGCTTGGGCATACTGTGGGGCATAGCCTTGCTGGGGGTAGCCTGGTGGAGGATATCCTTGCACTGGGTAGCCTGGCGGGGGATAAGAATCCTTTGGTGGGTACCCTGTTCATTATTCAAAACAATAATTTCATCAATCGCTCTCACTCTCACAAATTGATGAAAGAATTGAAGTCTGGAAAATAAAATTCCACGGCAAAGAGGGAATCAAGCGAGGGGAGATTACCCTGCGGAGGAGGAACCCCGACTGGAGCTTGATGCTGGTGCTGATCGTAGTAATTCATATCAATGTGTGGCCTGAGATTGGGATGACAATGACAGAAATTGATAGGTTCTTGTGGATCTTTTATAAGAAATGAAGGGGAGACCTGAAGCTGGAAGGAAGTTTCCTCGAGTAACTTAGCAGGGTAAGGTAACGAATGAGAGAAACGCGTTTGACTTTGATCCTGCAACAATGCTATGAAGATGCTTGCTTCAAGATTAGTTACTTTTCAGGCCAAAAAAAAAAAGATTAGCTGCTTTTGAATATCGCTCGCTCTTCGATCGCGTTTTACCGCCTTTAGATTTTCGAGCTGTTGTCTTTGTTCGTAAAGCGCCTTTCACTTTTTGACTTTACGCGTTACCTAAACGGCTTTCTAATCGTCATTTGACGGTTCAAAGTTCAAAGCCACGTCATCTTCCATTCTTCTATTGGATTTCTTTTCTTTTGCCCATTTAGATTGAAAACAATGAAATTAATTATATAAGTGAAGAAAATTATACAAATACTACCTCCGGTCCTAATTATAAGACCTAGTTGACTAATTTGAGGAGATTAAGGAAATAAGTTAAGTTAGTTATTTATAACAAACAAGAATTGTCATTCCTAAAATATCCTTGCTAATTAAGTGTGTTGGTTAAAACTATTATTATTAGAAGGACTATCTTGAAAAAAAATGTATAAATATGAGAGACAAAATGGATTGGGGTCTTATAATTAGGACCAAACTAAAAGTCAAACGGGGTCTTATATTAAGGACCGGAGGTAGTATAGTAGAGTGGAGGAAATAAGGGAAAGGAACTGATAAAGTGTCAATTTTAAAATTTTTAATCTCTATTCAAAAGTATAGTATACATCGAAGAAAAAAGAAAAAAGTATATTGTACCCTATTTTAATCAAATTTGGAAAAAAAAAATTAGTATTTCTGTGTTTTAAAATTTTGATTGTTTTATTTACAGTTTGATGTATGGTATAGTTACAATTTTTTAATTTATATTATGTTTCAAAAAAATTAATTTTTTGCCAATAAAAAATATTTTTGTTTAGAATGACACTAATTTCGCTTTTAACTTAAGAGACGTTATTGTTAGACTTGTCCCTGGAGAACATAACTGATAAAATTAGAGGATTTGTTGGTTTGGATCAGGAGATATTAAACTTCATCTAATGAATATGAAAACAAACTAAAAAAAAAAAAAACTCATGGTACTGATGTTCTACTTAACTATCACTTGCTTTTCGTGAATATAATTATGTAGCTATCATTTGCTTCTAATACACAGGTGTAAAGATAATAATTGATTTACTAGTCTGCTCTTGCAAGAGGCTAATCAATTTCGACAAACAGTATAAATTATAAGCGTGTTAAAGAAGGGAATGAAGATTCAAAATTATGGGTATGCTGCGAAGTATGAAGAGAACTAAAAGAGGGAGGGAGGACAAATGAGGGCGACAAGTGACAACTGGTAACTATTCTTAAAGCTGAATGATGAAACCTCCTGGTTATGTCACCAAATTGTTCAATTTCGTGCTCATTTCGTGAAGGTCAAGGCCGGTGAGGTGGGTCAAGACCAAAAACATTTCATCCCAGGGGAAAATAGAAAGAAGAAAGAAGTTTGTTGGAGTAGCCCAAAACCTTGATTGCGGGTTTGGGTTGGACCAAGATGGCCGAGACCCAGACTCTCCTCTTTTGCTTCAAGCCCTTGTGTAGGAAAAAGCTTTGTAGTGTAACAAAAAAAAAAAAGCAGTGAACCGTGTCCTGCGTTGCTTAGATATGAAATTTTACATTATGCCAGTAATTGACTGCTAAACACTTCATGATAAAGAAAATGAGAAACCCAGAGGCACTTTTTCTTTTCTCACAGCTGGAGGCCATATTGTAAGCAACAAAGTGCCCAAGGCATGTGGTGGCACAACCCTTAGACAACAATATTCAGAACAAAGATCTTCAATGAAACCATCGATGCAAAGGCAAGAATGTAGGAAAAGCAGGGGGTAAAGTGATTGCTTCATTGACCCATGATTCAATCAAAAACAAAAGCTTTGTTTTAACGGCTCCCTAGTGGATCCGGCACTAATTACCCAAGACATGTCTTTGTTTTTGTTCAGGAGGCTGCTTGCTTTGCTGCTGAGAATTCCATTCACCTGAATCTTTTGCTTAAGGCGGATGCTCGTTGTCGGCAAGTTTTCGGTTAACTTCTTGACAGAGTTGCTAGGCATGTGTTAGGTCAGTAGGTATTACCTCCGGTCGTTAATATAAGAGCTAATTGATTAATTTGAATACGTTAAAAAAACTAATTAAGTTAGTTATTTGTAATAAATATGTTTTCTTTCTTAAAATATCATTAGTGATCAAGTGTATTGGTTAGAACTATTATTATTACGAAGATTATCTTAGAAAAAAATAAATATAAGATACAAAATAGATTTGGGTTTTCTATCTAGAATCAAAATAAAAGTCAAACAAACTCTTATATTAAGAACCGGAATTATTCGGTTATAAAAAAATTGAAGAGCAAACCGACCTCATAACTCACTGCGAAAGGAAACGTGTTTGAATGTGGCATCACCTTCTGGTCCTCATCACTAATGGATGGAAAAAGTATGTAGCGCGACTTTCCCATCTAACTCTTCCTCATTCACCAACAAGGGGAAAAATAAATAAATAAAAAGGTTCGGTACCGTTTAGTTACAATTGAACTTTACTCTCTCCCATCAGTCCAACTTCTACCAGCAAATTTTAAAAACGGAAGAATGAATCATGATTTGTGATCACAGGACAGAGGCCCCGATGGGCATTAATGCCAGAGGCTAGACTTGGAAGCAAACCACCATCTTCCTGTAAAAAACTAAAAATACACGAAAAGTGCAGGACCACAACATCGTCTGCACCCTGCAAGTTTTGCGCAACATCTTAATGCGACGAAAAAGCAACATTTCCAATCCAACGAAATGAGACATACATAGGCTTTAGTTTATCAGAAAGAAAACAAGGACAATGCGTAAATTACAGTTACACATAACATAATGCACGATGTAGTGAATGGCTCATAAGAAGTAGTTTAATATACAATGTCCTTAGGGGAAGCTTCCAAGTCTCTCACAAACACTAGGTCCAGTAGATTACAAGGAGAAAGAGGAAATCCATGCGAAGTAATGGAAAGAGTGAATAGAAGGTTTGCTCATTGGAGTTTGATTTAGTGATGGGGTAACAGTGAGCTCAATTTCCGAGTTCTGCAATACTATGTAAGGCTGGCCTCCACTGTCCTCCACCCCCACCAATATGCCTCCCCACAGCTTTGCTTCTGCTGCTTCTGCCATTGCTTGCCATTCGGTGAACTTCCTTTTCGACCTGACACTCACACAAGTGCAATAAAGGCCAATTACGTTTTGGATGGCCTCACACGCCATCAAAGGGTCACAGAAAATGACAATTCATATTGACTTATAATCTGAAAGCTACATAAGCTTGGTTCCACAGCCAACACCGTCCATATGGGTAAAACATCTTTGTCCCGAAATTTTAAGGACTGGGTTATTTTCTCTTCTGGTAATCCATTAAATTATGATATTCCCCGGTGATGATAAAATAAGATCCGTAAAGGTTTGGAGCTAACTAGAATGCTCACATGAAAAAAGATGTTGGCAAAAATATCTAATCATTAGAGATCTGTTAATTCTTTTCCACGTTCCAAATCTAACTAAAACAGAGCAAAGCTGAAATATCATTATACATACTTGAGGATAGGATCATAAGTCAACTCACGCAATGGGAGACAAATCCAACAGAAAGAAATAATAAATATACCTATCAGAAACAAAAATCAAAGCAGAATAGCGACGTCCCAGCCGCACCCAAAGTAGACACTTGACTAACTTAACGATTATTAAAATCAGAATAGCTTCAAGTTTATGTAATTTGACACAGAGGAAGTATTTTATATTATTTACCTCCAAGGTACTGGGACTTGAAGCTCTGGAATCTCTGTTCTTCATCTGAATCTCCATGCCACCTCTCTGCTTCAGCAGTTTCCCAAGTTTCACACATTTCTTGGCAGCAAATTCCTTCAAAACATCTTGTGGTCGCCATAAATAAAATGTTAATGAAGGGGGGGAAAACAGAGACAAGGTGAAATAGCGTGAAAAATGAATGTTGTAGTAAAACCTTCAAAACTGATCAAGCGGTAAACGTGACCGATAAGCAAAGTATCCTCGGGGCGTAGAAGCTTGAGATGTTTCAAAGGCGTGCCATCAGGAGATCTGAGAGTGGAGGAGTTAACGAGATGAGCGACGTAGTGACCCGGATTTGAGTCCATCACTTCCTGAGCGCTAACAGACCAATAAATCCTCTCGATCTTGTTGTCTTGAGGGTGCTGAATTATAACGGTGGCCGCCTCCGCCGCCTGGCAATTCCCCATGTCACCGGAACTTGACCCAAACAACCAATTATCAACAAGCACGGAGCGGAGGAAGGACGACTTGTAGAAGCAAGTGAAGGGAACGCGTTGTTGGTTTCAATAAGATGACGTTTGAGAGACATGAAACAGAGTTGAGAGGTGAGTGTCTCTTACGAAAGGAGAGGGGGCCATCCGAACTGATGCAGAAGAAGCAGAGAGTTTCTGTGTGAATGAATCTGACGGTCTTCCAGGTTCACTGACGCACGCCAGGAATCATGGGGTGTTCTGGCGGATGTGACCGAGAGCGACCGGTAATCTAGAAATTCCCACGTCTTTTATCTCTTAAAAATGGTTGATTTTTGGTGGGGAAGGTATAGGAAGAGAAGAACGAAGGTGGCGGGGGATGATGAAGACGATGATGGGCGATATTACCGTGTGCGTTACAATTTAACAACACTACAATTCCTGTACATCGAAATCCAAGGGGGAAGGACCAGAGCGTACGGTTTTTCAAGTTAAGAAAATCAGTGAGAGCGAGTGCCTTGTGCCGTTGCGCGTTTTTCAAGTTTATCTGGGGGTGTTTTGTTTAATAAAAAAAATATTTTTAAAAAATATTTTTATTTAAGTTGGACAAAACTACTCTCATATGAATACTTCGCATATCCTGAAATTATTTTTTGAATTATGGTTTGATTTTCAACTAAACACCCCTACTTTTTATATGAAAAATTTGAAAGCAATAATTAGTTTGCCATATTATTCAATTGTATTTTTTTCAAACGAATTCAGTTGTGTTTTTAATATTAATAGCATTTACTACCAAAAAAAAGACCCGTAAATTCTAAGAGAGTCTTTTTTTCAAAAAAATTATATAATTTGCAAAATTTCTTACCTGTTGAAAAATATATAAATTATATTGATATAGTGATTACCTAATAAAATTAATATAAGTCGCATTTGAGAAATTTGAAAGTTGAGGAATTTAAAACCCATAGCGGATATCTTTCCTATCTATAAGAAGGGTATCAACTCATATGGTCATGTTCTATTCGGTGGAATAACGATAAAATAGAAATCATCTTTTGGAAAATGAAATTAAGTAGAACATGGTTGTTGGGTTGGGTGTGGTCACCACTGTGGTCGTTTCTTTTTATGGGAGTAACCACAAGCCCCTTTTTCCCTGAGGCCCACATGTGCATATCTTAATCTTACCAGGTGGCCCATATACACCTTCCTAACATTCTCAACGGATGCCTCGTGACTAAAGTGTTTGAAAATGCCCTTCGTATAAATAAGAGCCAGCTACTTCATGTATAAACGTAGCCAAAAAAAAAGATGACTTTTACGTTACTCGCAACATAGGGTACCAAATATGGCAATTCCACATTTTCAAAATATTCAATGCTTAAGTGCCTTGTAAATAAGCTAGGAAAAAAAATTCCATCAAGATTAGGCCCCTTCTCCCCCCGGGGTTTGGTTTTATATTACACGGCTCAAACGCAACTGAATATGGAGTCAACGTCTCTGCACCAATTGCAGCAACATGTGTAATTTTTATTAGGGTAAACGTGCGTCTTTTTTATATTATATTCATAATATTTATCTTTTTTTTTTGTATATCTAACAAACTAATATTATTTTCAATGCATTCAGTACCATGATTAAATCATTAAAAAAAATCCTAAAAATAGAAAAAAAATTACAAATAACGACCAGTATTGGTTTTGATCTAATAATTTTTAAGATTTTTTTTTGTGATTTAGGGCATAACAAAGCAGGTGCCACGTGGTCACCTTTCTTGTTGAGGGTTTACGTGTTTCTCAACGAGCTCCTCAAAATCGGGCAATTCGGTTGCGTGCATGCAAATGAGCAATGACATCAGATTGCGAAGAAGGACAATGCCACGTCATTTCTTGGCAAGTGAGCTAATGACGAGCGCGGAATCGGGAGATGCAACTTGGACTTTTTTTTCAAATAAAAATGCTATTCTTTAGGAGCAATAAAAATGCTTGGTATGGTACAAAATCAATTTTAAAAAGTATTTTTATATAAATTGATGCCACTTTTTTACATACTTACTTCATATATAATATTTATTGTAAAAATTTTTAAAAACACAGTTTGAATTTTTGACCCAGATATCTCCTTATTCTGATTCTTAATCAATTTTATAATGTTATTTTAATCATTTGGTACAGTTGTTTTTTTTATTACGAGTGTTGGGAAATATAAAATTGTTTGAATTATTATTTGAAAAAACATATCTAAAATGATTAAGTGAAGGGTGAAAAAATAATTTGCTTAATAAATATGATTGTAATTAGTTGAAATCCAATGTGCTCTGTTTTTTTTTTTTAATTTTATAGAACAAAAGGTAATAAATATCATAAACATATTCTGATTTTTCCAGAACAAATTTCAGTTTTTTTAATTTTTTTTTAGAAAATATAACTATAAACATTTTTCAAACATACTTTCTTTTCTTTTCAATTTAAAAAAAAACTGTTTTGAAAATTAAAAATCAAATCGCCCACACTAATAATATTTTTTTCTAATAATTTAAATAAAAAACTTATATTTAAATATTTATTTGTCAGAAAAAAATTAGAATTTGAACCCCAATAGTTTCTATATATGAAATTAAATAGAATGTGGATAATTTTTGTATGTATAAAAATATGTCAAAATCTTCTGGATCAATAAAATCTATAAATAAAAATTTTTGACCAATTTTCCCCGAAAAGATGAGGAGAGACGCTGACATCTGATTCAGGGTTATTACTTATTATCTTTATTACTTATTACGCAAAAGTTGGCGATGGCCCCGATGAAATGCCCTCCAAAACGTGCCAAATTCTGAAACATAAGACCATCGGAAGCAAACCCCCTTTTCCTTGGCATCTTCGCATCTCCCCCAAGAATCTTCTGTCTCTCTTCCATTTCGAACGTCAAAAATTTCTCGTGGGTGTTAGTCTTCTCCAACCATATCAACTGCGGATTTGTCATCGTCCCCCCCTTCAGCTCAAGATCGAATTTCTTGCATGTTATACTACTCTCGTCTTGCGCCTTTATTTGTTTTCCTTTCCACCATTTCCTCGCTTTCCCCACAACGCTTTTAGCCTCTGATTTCCTCCGCCTCCACACCCATTATTTATAATCATGCATTACTAGTAGACTTTGGCTTCACTTTGTTCTCCCCTGGTGATTCTTCAGTTTCAGGTTCTTTTCTGTGCTCTTTCCTCGCATATTTGGGCTTCATTAATAAGGTGTTCCTCCATCTGGCAACAGGTATGTGGTTACTTTTATATCCAAGGTAGGGAAAAGATTGGATATTTTAAATGCATTATTTCCTATGCTTGCAGTCACTCGTGAAACCTTGAAAATTAAGAGCTTTGTATTTGTTAAAAATGCCGGATGTATTGACCCCAAAGTCTTCTCAGTAATAGAACAGAGCACTCTCTGATTTGATCACAACCGAAGTAGTTTCACTGCTTTCACTTTCTTGTACTGTTTTAGGGTCTTGCGGATCAATGGAGGACCGCCGGGCTTGTTCAGTGGCGGAAGGGAAAGGGAAAAGGTTGTGGAAGAAGGTGAAGTACCAGCTTGTTGAGTATCATTCCTTGCCTGGTTATTTGAGAGACAATGAGTACATTGTGGGTCACTATCGATCTGAGTGGCCCATGAAGCAAGTCTTACTCAGCATATTCTCCATCCATAACGAAACTCTAAATGTTTGGACGTAAGACTCTGATATTCAACTTATTGTTTATTGTTTTAAAGTCTGTCCCGTGTTGTTTTGATAAGGAACACACACACACGCACAGTAATTTTCAATTCAATTTGAAGTACTCCTTGCTGCCTGTCCTAGTATATATCGAATCAATATGTCTCTGTTGTAAATCCCACAACTAGCTCGTCAAGTGCTATATACTATTGGCATGAACTTGTATTAATAACTGTTTCGAAAGGTTGACTCATCATGATTGTCTGAACCCAATTGCAATCAAGCGTCATGAAAGTTCTGCTTCAAAAAGAACCTTAGAGATTTTCACAATGATAAAGAAGATTCTAATTCTATATGACCTCTCGTACAAACAAGCGTTTGTGGGATGCTTTCTGAGAAAAGGCTGAGAGGAACACCTTTGGCAGAACTTGTTTATTAGAATTTTTATAGGTCGTTTCTCTGTAAGTAATTTATAAGGATATTTGCTGTTTGACTATGTTAGCATTTGGAAGCGTCTGTGGGATTCTGTATTGTGACTTAGATATCTTTGATGTTTTTTTGTCACTCATAGTTGTCCTCTTCACAAGAATTAGATAAGTCAAATGACACTAACTGATATTTGGCTTCAAAAAATGTCCAATATTGTATCTTTCCCAAATTCTCTTGCATCCCTGTCACAGTTTGTTATCTCTTGCAGACATTTGATCGGGTTCTTCCTATTTCTATCATTGACGATCTGCACCGCAATGAAAGTACCAAAAGTCGTAGATCTTCATTCTCTACAGCACTTTCCTGAGATGCTCAAGAAGGCCGACATGAGCAAATTGCAAGCAGAACTCTTGACATGCCTCCCTTCCATGCCTGATCTGCACAGACTCAGGGAAGATTTCAAAACTACATTGCCCACACTGGACATGCTTCCATCAATCTCAAGCTGGCATGTAAAGGAAATTCTTTACAATTGTTTGCCAGAGCGATTTTCCAGTAGCAACTACACTGATGTTTGTGTTCTGGTGAGTGCTTTTGGAAGCCCAAATATTTCATCCGCATATTACGGTAGCAAGTACCAATGTAATATCAATGTTAATCATTCATGCAGTATAGCGTAAAAGAGGACTTGGCCAACATAATAGCTCCATTGATGCTGAAACCTATTACGAGGCTGCCATTTTTTGCATTCTTAGGAGGAGCCATGTTTTGCTTGCTAGTAAGCAGTGTGTGCCATCTCGTCTCTTGCCACTCGGAGCGGCTTTCATACATCATGCTCAGGCTTGATTACGCTGGCATTGCATCCCTAATATGTACTTCCTTCTTCCCCCCCGTGTATTACTCTTTTATGTGCTATCCCTTCTTCTGCAACTTGTACTTGGGTTTTATAACTCTGTTAGGCATTGCCGCGACCCTTGTTTCTCTGCTCCCCTTCTTTCAAAAGCCCAAATTCCGAGCCTTCCGAGCTTCCCTTTTCTGTGGCATGGGTCTGTGTGGCCTAGGACCGATTCTGCATAAGCTTTATCTGTTCTGGGGCGAGCCTGAGGTGTTCCACACAACTGGGTATGAGATTCTGATGGGTCTTTTCTATGGAGCCGGGGCTCTTGTTTATGCCGCTAGGATCCCTGAAAGATGGATGCCTGGCAAATTCGACATTGCCGGCCACAGCCACCAACTCTTCCATGTATTGGTCGTAGCAGGGGCATACAGTCACTATCGTGCCGGATTAGTATATCTCAGGTGGCGTGACCTGCGAGGCTGTTGATTTTCTGAGCATTTGCTCCATCTGTTGATAGATGCTCTGTTTTGTTGTCGCGCGTTTTGATATGTCAGGTGTTCATCTGCATCTCCGAAAGTTGTACCCACACCATTGAAGTCGCGGGGATGTCCTGTATCATAGTACTATAGGAATATCGTATTCCATTTGTTTGATGATGAATAAGTCATTTGGAGTATGGCTCCAGCAAATTGGGAGCTTGATGCCTGTAAGAATGTCACTCTGTAGGATTCTGAGTTAGTCTGTTCTACAAATTCATTATTCACTATATTAACTCTGTAGGAGGCCTTGTTACTTTTATAAAGTAATTGTGGTGCACTTAGGCGGTCTAGTATTGTATTTGCCCTGGAATTAATTGGAAGCCCCAGCAGATTGCTTTTCAAGTCCTGCATTTAAAGAAGAAGGGAGAATGATATGGTTGAAGTAGTGTGAGTATCAGAATTCAGCTCTCAAAAAGTGAAAACCACATAAAACTTGTGAGGAAAACGCGGACAGAAAGGTGGAGAAAACGGGGGAAGATGGGGATGCATTTATTAGTGAGAAAATTGGGAACCGAAAAGGACATACGTAGTAGGATGATTGAATCGCCCATAAGTGGTTTTCGTAGCCGCAGAGTCAAGCAATGAGTGGTAAATGATGAGAAGGGGGAACGAGGGTGGGCGTGGCTCTAAATCAGTCCCTTTCGAGCCCACTCATCGATCCTAACCCCTTCTCCGCTTTTGGGCATGCCGACTTCCGACTTTGCAACTTCATATCCCGTGGATTGCGTGTGTTTCGCCTCCACCCTTTACCAACGTCAATTATTGTTTTTACGGTTTTTTCGTTCCTTTGTTTCTTCCCCTTCTCAACTATGTATTAAACTATTAATTCTGTATTTTACATGCATTATGTTATTATATACCGCTTTAGATTCTTAATATAAGACCTACATAATTTGAAAAAAATTAAAAAATTAGTTATATTGGCTAATTGTAATAAATATATGTTAATCTTCTCAAATTATCATTTTTAACTATATGTATTGAAACTATCTTTTGATCGAATTTTTACCATCAACAAAGATATTTTAGATGAAATGTTATAAATTTAAGAAATAAAATGAATTCTAAATATAAAATCTTATATTTAGAATTAAATTTAATCGCTAACTACTCTTGTATTAATGAGTCAAGGTAATACATAGTCGTCAAGTTCCATATTACAATGCCACGAGTCTATATTTCATATTAATTCTGCTTTTTACTATTGAATTTTGCCTTGCTTTCTCAATTTAATTATTCGAGGGTAAAATACACACTTGCATCGTCTTTTTTTTTTAATCGTGTGTTATCTGTTTACAATTTGAAGAACTGGGTATTTCTGGCTCGAAACGGAAATTGAACCAATCAATTTTCAACATCCACTGAAACTTGTATACTCATGAGCACTCAAGAAAAATATTTTTACTTAAATCAAGATAAAATTTTTCCACCACCTCTAAAGACTTTATTCTGACACCCTCTTAACACACAACTTCGATCTGAAACAAAGCACTGTCTATACGAGTATGGATAATATTTCATTTTTCTAGTTGATCTGTTTCATTCCCGTCCAAGCTGCAAATATGCATAAATAATAAATCCTACATCCTGACAGACAAAAACCACACGAATTGATTAAAACTTACTGTCATGATGTGCACAAACTCTCATAACTTTCTGATTTTATACATTTATCTTTCAAAGGAAACCCAGAGATCTCAAGCCACTCTCTCTTATAATAAAAGAAGAACCAATAATTCAAATATAATTCTCACAAAAAAAAATAGAAATTATGTTCAATTCAGCTGACCATAGTTTTGCTTGAATGTCAAACCACTGCTGATCTTCTGCGGGCAGCATAGCTTTTGCTTCTTGGATATACGATAGGCCTGATCGGAAGATCATCTCCATATTCACAGGGTTTGTCTTCGTCGATTCTTCCAATGACAACGCTGCGACTCCGAGGCACTCTCACCTGCGGCGCCGGCTGTTTTGCCGGTACGTCAAAATCAACTCGGCTGACAGAACTCCTGGCAGCAGCAGCCTTGATAAGGTCCTTATAATCCTCAACGGAGCTTGATCTGGCAGAGCTAACGCTGAAGCTGCGAGGGAGGGTTGACAGTTGGCCGGTGGGGCAGCCCATGGCGGCGTCAAGGTAAGGGAAGCGGCCGGAGCACTCGGTGATGCCGTGGATGTAGAAGTGCTTGGCTTTGTTGAGGAGCCTGATGGGTGCCTTCATGCACCTGGCGAACCAGCCTTGTTTGGTATCGCTGTGCTCTTTCATTCTTTTTTTGTTTTGTGAGGAAATGAAATCAAGTCAGGGCATTTAAATCCAATGGAGTTGCTTGGAAGAGAGCGGCCATACCCATAATGCCCAAAAAATGGCTGACGATGAAATGTGGTCATATACTTTGGATAGTCACATGAATTGTTTCCTTTCTTTTCTTTCTTTTTTTCTTAATTTTTGTTTGGTAATTATTTATGAACAATTAAGGCTCTTAATATGGTTGGAGTATTTTCTCTCCCACGCGCGAGCGCGCGTAAGTGATGGCTTTGAGAGTTATGCATGTAATTTTGTGCCAAGAGGGACGGTATTTTCTTTCTTGGACTTCTGCCCACAACGAACGTGTTTCATCGTACCAACCAAAAAGGGGCAAGAATATCCTAACTGGGTGGCTAATTCTATAATCAAGATCAAACGAAGGACAACACATCCATTGAATAAAGATATCATAAGGACATAACCCGTCTCCAATAAAAGAAATAGTTGAAAATTGAGTTTAAATATAAGATATTAATTAATCTATTATGTCCTTTATTTATTTATTTTTTTTAAATTATCCTCATTCACTACACATATTAAAGGAGTTTGTATTAAAAGATATGTTTAATGTAAATGATTTAAGACGGTAGTATTTTAAAAAAAATTAGTTAAGTAAATCTTATAATAAGAATCGAAGGGAGTATATCAAAACTGTCAAATTGGTGGGAGGGGTGGAAAATGTTTTCAATGCAAATAGGTAATAGGTAATTATGGCTGGCGGATTGTGTAGTAACTCTACCAACAGAAGGGTATGAAGTAATTCGATTTGATGATTTATATTTGTCTGTGGGGAAAAAGAAAAGGATAATGTGTACTTGTCATGTAATTAATATCTTCGTTACAATTTTCTATTAACAATTTGTTTTATAATTTTATAATTTGAGACAAGTAGTAGCGTTCAACAATTAATTTGATGCATATGTTTTAACAATGAGATGTGTATACATCCGGTGAAACGTCATACGTAATTATGTGTATTAAATGATGACTGAAAAGTGGGATTCATGTATATTAATTCGCAGGCTAATGGAAAATGGTTTACGTATATTTATTCATGAATATAAAATGAAACGCGCGTAGAGTGGTTCATCCAATGGACAGAAGTGACAGCTCTTTTATGGTCAGTATTAAATATATTTTCTCATGTACAGTGAATAAAAAGGAATAGAAGAACCTTCATGTGAAGTATATAATCATTTTCACAGGACGAAATGATAGCATCGTACATGCAACATATTTTAACAATATTACATCCCGTCTCAAATATAAGAACTAGTACTAGTTTATAGTGTAACTATAAATTAGCTTTTATATTTAATAACTATTGCCTCCCCTAACTAATGAACTGCACATTCTGCAGTAAGGTTCAAGGTCTCTGCTCTGGTAATGAAGAGGATGAGTTGAAAGAGCAGGGTGAGCAGTCATTTTCTGCGGCAAAGGCAGAAAAAGGGAGATCAAGTTTCAATAACTTGCTAGGGTGGGGAATGAAAGGTGGAATAAAGCAAACTTTGAAATACAATTATTGAGAGAGGAAGGAAGGTACATGGAATGTGGGGGTGATTGAGTGGGAGTGGGGACAAACAACTTTCTGCTTTCATGTAGCATCTCATCATTACACAGTAAACTATGGCTATTAACTCGCCAGGGCCCTTCCCTCCTGCTTTTCCCCCTGTTCCCTTCGCTGACCCCAATTGAGGCTGGCAACTTTTTTGCTGCCCATTTGTCTCCCCTCAGCTTTATCCCGCTTCAACTCTTCCCCTTCCAGCGTAACGACGACTTTGAGGATCGCGTTTCTAGGGAATGCGGGCCGATGCCCACCGTTGGTTACCAATAGGCCCACTCGCTGCCATTCTATCCCAGCATGGCTGGTAATTCCACTAAATGGGCTCAGTTTTCGTCATTGGTCACCGCATGGGCATGGCCCAGTTTTAAAACCTAATGAGACCCCGAAAACCTACTTCAGATACGTATTACTTTCTCACACACCCCAAAAAAAAAAAGTTCGATATCAGGGGAGAGTCACCACCCAGTTTACACGCATGGGAGCTCCAATATCAGAGCGAGGAAGGTAAAAATGAAATGAAAAGCCACAGAAAGGTTAACATTGAATCCGACACGAGAAAAGTTGAAAATACGGTGCGAGAGCTTTTTATTAGCATATTACACAGTCCACATTTTTTCTGTAGATGCGGTGTTCAACCTGGATGTACCAAAACGACGTCTGTTTTTTCCTTTTTGTTTTTGTTTAATAAAATGATGTCCGTGAAAGAACTATTTTTGTTTGAACCCATGTCTTGCTTCGATGGAGTTCTCGAGGGGGGAGAAACTCTAAAAAAGAGGAGGGGTTGTTTTTGAGAATCAAGGTAAAGGCAGGGTGCATGAACGTGGAAGGAAATAGGAAACAGGAGGGATAAAAGAATATACGGGGCAAAAACAACAGGAATCAGTTTTGGTGATGTCGAAGCATAGGCCCCGAGCTGGGGAGTTGGGAATAAATAATATAGTATCAGAGATCCTCGTAGTGATGGCCGAGATTGAGTGGCTAAGTACACGGATCATGTGACTCCCTTTCCCTAAATTAATACTCTATTTTGGTCATGTGACTTGCAAGGCGTCTGAAAGTTGAATCCCCCCACCCCTCCTCCCTCTTTTCAATGATCTCAGGCTCCCCCCATTATTTTTCCATTTTACTAATGAATTCGCGCTCGCTTCACCCAGCAGCGTTCGTCTAGATCCAAGCCCATTAAAATATGCACTTTTAAATTAATATTAGTAGTAATAATAATAGGGCTGTCCCGAGTCCCAACCCCTCTCAACTAAAACAATTGAATCCAACCTACAAAAGATCCAATCTGGACACTACCCTCAAACCACACCTCACATTATTCAAACCAGAATATGGTCCAATCTGTAATGCTGCAGCTTTACGAATCCGACCAAAACCCATCCGGTTTCTTATTATTTTTTCCCCCTGATTACAACGCACCATCTCAACAAAAAGCAACCTAAAATCTTTTTCTTTTCTTCTTTTTTCCCTTCAAACAGAAAAGAATTTGTTGAGTCAAAACCCGGTCTTTGCGATAACATCGATATAATAATTATTAAAGAGATAAAGGGGAGGTAAAGGAGCGGCGATAGGGAGGAACGAGGGGGGACAGAGATGGCAGGGTCACGTGTCGGTGTCCGATTGGGTGGGAGGGATGGCAACGGCAAAGGTGGTCAAAGCACACGACCGGATAAGCAAAACCTATACGTACAGTCAAAGCAAAACCTGTCACGGTCAATTGCTTTGCTGGCCCTTTCCCACCCTCCCTCCCCCTTTCCCTCTCTCTCTCTTATTTTCTTTCCCCCAAATATTTAGAAAAGAGCAAGTGCCTCCCCCCCTCCCCCATTTTTGATTTACTATTAACTATTGATATTGATGAGACCATTTTCTGGGGGTTATAATAAATTATAATATAAGTTGGTGCAACCTGCCTTCTAAATCTGAAATTTTCATCATGTTATTAAAACTAGGTGATTATATTAAGAATTAAATATAGAAAGAGGAAAATGGGGCACATATACTGATTGAGATATTCGATTTGGCCTTGGGGGAGGGGGCCCACTTCTTATGGTTTGGGGAGTGGGGCCAGCATGGTTGTTCCTTCGTGCTCGTGGGGCTTCCCTCGCAGCACTTTTGTGAACCCCACCTCGCTTTCTTGCTTCGTGTCCCTCACCACCCCGGTCCCTCTTTTTCAATTTAATTTAGTCCCTCCAAGCCCCCAATCTTATCTCTTTACACTTTCCCATCTCTTTTATCGTCCAATTTCACTTCTTTTTTCTTAACATGTTGTATGGGACTTCGAACCACCTTTCTTTATCGCCTCTAAAGTTTTGAACCGAACTCATCTTTAATGCCATACATTTTTCTAATTGCGTTGTAGTTGTAGGTGCCACTTCTGTTCATATGACTCTACCTGTACCATAAATGTCGCCACCTCACATTCATTTGTATCCTCGAATCACTCACAATTATATATACTCTAGTGACATTTCACTGAAATGAAAAAGACGGCCAAGACAAACCAATTCCAACCTGTCATGAGGATTAGTATCATGATACAAGGAATTTTCTCCCCCCCCCCCCCCAAAAAAAGAAGTCATGATCTCAATGGGATAGATTATTATTATTATTATTATCATGGCAATTAGTATTTATCTTTTGGGGTTAATGATGGACTGCGATATGAGTGCCGTTTCAAGGGAGCAATGTGGTGGAGTGGTATGTGAATACGTGATGGCTGCACGTGTGGTGCGCGGGCCGAGGGGCTCCTGGACCGGCTGCAACCCGTGCATCCCGGTCACCTGGCTTTTTTTTTTTTTTTTTTTGAGGTTGGGTTAATATTTTCGTTTTTGATTTTCATGTTTTTTTTTTTTTACGGTCATTAATTTAATTTTTCTCTCTTGCCCCAAAAGAAGAGCTGTGCTGCCAGGGATGGCTTTTCTGTGCTGCTCCCTCCCTCCCACTGTCTCTTGCCTCTTGTGGTACGGACCTCCCTGTTATTTCATCTCCGGCCCTCCCGATTCCGCTTATGGTTCTTGATTTCGTGATCTCAGTCTCTGTTCTTTCTCTCCGCCTTTCGACTGTTTGGTTCTGTTAATCTGCTTGTGCTGGTGGAGTGTTGGTCTCCACTGTTCGGTCTTTGATTGGGTTAGATTCTTTTTAGGTTTCCTCGGCATCTTTATTGATTTGCTAAAGGGGTTCCTGATTTAACCCTTTTGAAGCTTGAGCATCAAGTGAAAGAAGCTTGATTATGTGTTCCTGATGTGAGATAGGATGGTAATGATTCTTTTGACCATTGAAAGAGATCAGATAAAGCGGAGAAAAAGAAACAGGAGAGGGTTTTGTACAATAAAGCAGTTTTGTTGCTTGTAAATTGCCCATGAGAACTTGCCTCGCCGGTTTTATTCCTCTTTTTCCTCCTTTCCCTTTTCCGCACAGCTCATGTGGGCACTGGATGTAATGCCCCTTGACCGGTGCTTGCCATTGTAGAGATTTTGGGTGGGTTTCGCGTGCCGCTTTGCATTTTCCGACTAGGTCTCTCTCCCAAAGGGTTTCCAAAATGCCGATGTACCAGCCTTCTAAGCGGGATGTGGTTGCTGGCTTCGACGGTGGTGGTGACGGGCAGATTCTAGATCTGGATACCGCCGTCAAGGATGGGGTTTTAGGTGGCGTTGACGGTGGGATTGTCGGAGCTGGGGCCGGCGAGAAATTGGATCTGGGAAAAATGATTCAAGAGCTCGACTTGTGCGAAGTTCCTACGGTTTTTATCTGCCCAATCTCCCTTGAGCCAATGCAGGATCCAGTCACGCTTTGCACCGGCCAAACCTACGAGAGGTCCAACATTCTCAAATGGTTCAATTTGGGGCACCTAACCTGCCCTACCACTATGCAAGAGCTCTGGGACGATTCCATTACTCCGAATACAACCCTTTACCGTCTGATACACACTTGGTTTTCTCGGAAGTATCTGCTGATGAAGAAGAGATCGGAAGATGTGCAGGGGAGGGCGTCAGAACTCGTGGAGACGCTGAAGAAAGTTAAGGGTCAAGCTCGGGTTCAAGCCCTGAAGGAGCTCCATGATGTGGTGGCTGCTCACTCCACTGCCCGCAAAACAGTCATTGATGAAGGTGGAGTCTCTGTAATGTCTTCCTTACTTGGTCCTTTTACTTCCCATGCTGTTGGCTGCGAGGTCATAGGTATACTTGTGTGTTTGACCCTTGATTCTGAGTCGAAAAAGAATTTAATGCAACCTGCAAAGCTTTCTTTAATGGTGGACATTTTGAATGAGGGTTCAATTGAGACCAAAATCAATTGCACCCAACTGATTGAGTCATTGATTGAGGAGAATGATTTTCGTTCTGAGATTATTTCGAGCCATAGCCTCTTGGTTGGGCTGATGCGGCTTGTGAAGGATAAGAGACACTCAAACGGAATATTTCCAGGGCTTAGCCTCCTCGGAAAGTTGTGCTTACATAAAGAAGTTAGGAATTTGCTAGTGAGTATTGGCGCTGTTGCTCAGTTGGTTGAATTGTTATCTGCGCTGGAGCCACAGTGTTCCGAGTTGGCGCTTTCCATTTTAGATGCATTGGCATCGATACCCGAAGGCAGAGCAGCGTTGAAGAGCTGTTCTAACACTATACCCAGTATGGTGAATCACCTTATGAGAATCTCAGAGAACTGCACCCAATATGCATTGTCGGTCCTATGGTCTGTGTGCAAGCTTGCACCTGAGGAGTGCTCGTCCGTTGCGTTGGATGCAGGGCTCGCTGCAAAGCTCCTCCTTGTCATCCAAAGCGGTTGCAATCCTATATTGAAGCAACAGTCTGCTGAGCTTTTGAAGCTGTGTAGTTTGAATTATTCAGATACTATCTTCATTTCCAAATGCAAGCTTACTAGAACCATCCAATGAGTTCGTGGGTTCTAATCTGGTTGTATCAACAATTCATGGATTTGCAAGGCAGGAGAAGCAAAATGATCTGCCACTTCTCGGATCGCATGACTCAAGTTAACCCCCTAAAACAAGATGGCGTGGGGTTTTATTCCAACAATTGATTCCAATGGAGAAGGATCATAACCTGGACATCCTCAAATTTTGCCGGAGTGGGTTCAGTTCACTCCCGCGAGCTGCTTGTCCTTTTTTTCTCTTTTCAAATAAGCCCCATCAAGAAGATACGGAGACTGTACAATGCTCTGGGGCATGCGGATGTGAGAATTGAAAGCTACTGTTGGGATAAAGATATTTGTTAGGAGTGAGCTCACGGCAAGGATGGATCTTGCAATATCAATTGTAATTGTTGAGGAGCTGCTTTGCTCCGTGGCTTCCTTGTACCTTCCATTTGGAACTGAACAGCCTCCAAGATTACATTAAAAATAGAATTTTGCTTTTGACGCAAAAAATGTAGAGACTTTTTCATTGAATGTGTACAATGCAAACAACCATTTCTGTTCAGAGTCGTTTAAAGCCTTGCGTTGTTAATGCAACGGGGTCGAATCACGACATTCATATTAATTAATGATTTGATGTCGATGATGTTGGCTTTTAGAGTGTAAACGGAGTGGAGGAAACTGTGTAAGATGATGTGAAATGGGATGGCTTGATTTCAGGACGTCCCCAGACGACAGGACGAGTCCCGTTGAGGCATCTCCCTCATCCTATCCTTTTTGACTGTGATTGGATTTAAAGAGGGGACCCCCAACGTAACCTCTCGCTGATCTGAATCTGATGCTCTGCTGCTTGGAAAAGAAAGAAAAGAAATATTTAAAGCTTTCATTGAACAGGAGCGTTGAATCCTTTGGCCACCACATTCCTCCAAATCCGTGAACAGTCGCCTCTCTAGACTCTACCATCCCCGTGCATGTGGATGTGCTGAGTTTACTTGCTCATAAAAATTAAAAGAGGAGGGGAAGAAATTAAATTCATGATATCCTATCATTTCAGGCCAAATATCCCCGTCTCGATGTACTTATTATTGCCGTTGTTGTTGTTATTGTTATTATTATTATGAGAGATTAATTAGTCGAGCCACAGATGGGGCAACTGAAGAATGTCAAAAGTGTACAAGGAGGTGGGTCCAGCGCTGTTGAGCGATGGGCATCATCTTTGAAAAGTGATGCACATGAGCTCAGGCCTTTAGGCCTCTACCCACTCCCGTCCCTTTCCCCATTTCCATTACCCATTTACGCCACATTGTTTACCGCTACTAGCTCTTAATTACCAATCGGGTAATACGCAGTAAAAGTATCACACACGTGGGCGCACCTCAAATTTCAGTATATTTATAGTTTGTTACAGGTCCATGATTACATTTTTTTTATTTCAAATTTCAAGGGCAAGCACGAGCTTGGAGTACCAATCCATGATCACTAGACCTGGAAGTGTTTGCTTAACTCAAACAATATTTTTGAAAAACACTTTTTCTGCAGATTGATATAAGTTTTTTTATATATTTATTTTATATACCGTAAAAACACTTTTAAAATTATAATTTTGTATCTATCTAGACACTCCTTTGGATGAAATTGGTCTTTTACTTACCTTTTGTCCAAATATTACATTTTACTCAGTTATTGAAAGTAGTTACTGCTTACAATCAAAGGCTCCACTTGAGTGTCAACTTAAAAAAAAAAAAAAAAAGTTTCCACTTGAGCGGTCTGGGTAAAAAATTAAAAAAAAAAACGCCTACGTGGATTGCCTTCTACCCTCCTCACAACCAACGTTTGAAACTTAACAAGTCATCCTCTTTTACGGAGAAATGCATCAATAAATTTTACTGATGATTTATTTTATTAGGTAGAAAAAAGTGGTCGATACAAATACTCTCAAATATCGCACAAATTTTATTTTCAACTAATCCAAAAATATTTCTGGCCAGAAAAACAAAAAACGAAAAACATTGAAGCGTTTTTACACTTTCTCAAGATCACTTAAATCATACATATCATACAGCCATGCAGGATTTGAAAACTTTATGTTGAGATTTTTTTCATGAAAATAAATCTAACATCTTGAATCAAACGACAGTTATATAAATGTGTGCTTAGCACTACTTCCAATCCTAATTATAAGATTTTGTTTATAGTTTATAAATAAGGTTTTATAATTAGAATCAGAGATAATAGTTGGTAAATTTCTCTCTGTCTCTGCCCAACATGTGTAAAATGGTCGAAATATTACCCTTCTAATTTTCAGTTAAAAAAATCACCCTTTAAATTTTATAAGTCACCTTTTGTTGAGTCCAACTTTGAAAGATTTAATTAACGAAACTGTGCAATCTCTGGCGTAAAAATCACATCGCTTTAATTAAGAAGAATTTGTAAGCAATTAAGGTACTACAGCAAGTGCATCATTCAAAGCCACCTTGACCAATGGGAAAGGAAAATGAGCAATGCTGACGTGACTAACTGTCGTAACGGAATTTATGTTGTGTGCATGAGATTCCAATCGCAGCATCTTAAACCCAATCTTCAAAATCTTCCCCAACACCTTCCATCTTCCTTTCTCCCACCCTCCAACTCACTGAACCTCCCAACGATGGCATCCACTTCCGGTAGTAAACGCCGACCCTCAAGGCCAACGTCTCCACCGCTGACTCCTCCACGCCGTGTGCGGCGTCAACGCTTACAAGTATCAGAGGAAAGGGAAAAGAAAGAGGAAAAGAAAGAGGAAGACAAGCCCCTCATAATAAAGAGGCACCCGCGTAGATATGGGAAAGAGGTATACGAAGAGCCAGCCGATGATCCTCCTCCTGAGACTAGTGAAGAAGCCAAGAGAAGGCCCATCTTGGTCCAAGATTATCAAGAACCCCGTGGAGCTGAAAGAGATGAGCTCCAATTTGCGGCCTATGATATTTTCCTTTCCAATAACCCCTGGCGCTACCTATCTCTCGTCAGCGACTTCGCTAGCTCCTCCGCCCTTTCTAAGAACAACCCACTATCACAACACAAGACCCTCTGGAATTTCTGCGCCCGTCGATACCCAAATGCTTTGTCTCTCATGCTCGCTTATCTCCTCAACTCGCCTGAACTTCCCCTTGGTGCCGGAGTCTACACCGTTAAGCTCCTCCACCTGACTCTAAATCAGATTCACCGCCAAGATCCGTCGACAATTGATGACCGCGTGCTCTTACGTCTCAAATCTCTGCTTCTTAACGTTATCGACAACCATAAATCGATACCTAATATGCTTAATCTATCCGAAATAGTCGCCAGGATGTTTGAAACCCAGAGATGGCTTGACCTTCTTGATTATCTTTTAAAAGCCCTTCATACGGACTTCGAAACGAGGCAGGAAATGGCACTCAGAGTGTTAATAACTTTGCCCGAGGAAGAGTGTTTTGGAGCGTACAGATTTTGGAAAGTTAACTATAAATCACTCTATTTTAGATTCTTCGAGCTACTTGATTCTCCCAGTCTAATTATCCAGGCTTTGACATTTGATGCCTCTGTTAAATTGATACGCCTGCTACGCCTGTGGAGGTTTTACAATGAAATTGACGACCTATTACAAAAAGTGATTTTGCTCCTACGAGCATGTCACATGGACGGTCAAATCGATATCGTGGAACCAAGAATCATGGATTTGGCGGAATTGGCTAGATATTATACTGGCCATATCTTGAAGCGACTTGACGTTGTGTTGGACTGCATGTTCCAAATTGCTGTGACTACAGATGACAACACTTTTCTCAAGTGCAAGGCGATTGAAATTATTAAGATGCTCGATGAACATGCTCTGGTCCATGTTTCAAAGTTTCTTCAGGATCTTTCTGAGCAGGCTAAAAGCAGTATAATCGAGAATTGCGTGCGCTTGATGTTTTGTATTGCAGATGTTCCTGCCTGGTATGATATGGAGTCGTCATCGACTGAACAAGTGGGGGTCTCGGGGAGTTATCACCTAGGAAAGTTCTTACTATTTCGGGTTTGCATGCATTCACAGGAAGACATACTAGTTTCCTTTGGAATTGAGATGATACCGCAGTATTTGACTTCAGAAGATTGGCAGACACGTCATGCAGGATTGATTGCCTTTTCTGCTATTGGAGGAGCATGTGGCCCCGTAATTTGATATTTTCCCTGCCACTTTTCGTTTCAATCATGAAGTGTTATTTCAGTTTAAGAAAGACGTAATTTTTCATGCACTTAATGAACTATGTATTCATACTAATTTCACTTTCTGTTCATCAAGGAACACGTAGGTGTTTAACAATTTCATTCCTCTATTTTTGTCTTCTTATCGTCTCTCCATCTCTCTCTAATCATTTTCTATATGTCCCTATGGCTGCCACACAGGAAATGATATGTGACCAAGCTCAGAAATTGCTCGATATCTCACTGACTGATCCCCACCCTCGCGTACATTGGGCTGCCATTGAAGCAATTATAGAGATAATTACGGACTCTCATCAGGAGCATGTCCGATATCTAAATAAGTTCCTCCCTAGACTAGTCACCATAATTAAATCAGCTTCAATTTATCCACGTGTTCAGGTAGACACAGACACCAAATAGAGTTTGCCATCTTTCAACGCAAATTTGCTTGTCTTTTTAAGCTAAACTTACGGACATTCATAACACATAGCTACAAGTAACTAACTTGTTTGTGATGACCTGCAGTTTCATGCCGTTATGGCAGTTCGTCACTTGATTAACAATTGTGATAATGAAGACGTGAAGTCGTTCTCGGAAGATCTGGTGCCTGAATTGCTAAAATTTCTTCAGGTGCATGTTACTAGGCATGGATATTCTGGGAACTTGGCCACATCAAATCTATGGAACATGCATATATTTTTTTCTCTAGCATTCACAGTTTTATGTAAATAACCTCTCCTCCTGCAGCAAGGCGAGAAGTTCCGGGAAGAAGCTATGGAAATTCTTAGATCATTGGCAGTATCATTTCCGGTATGTGCCTTGATACCTCAAAATTAAATTGTCGAACCACACGACGATGATGCATGTGGGTTTTATTTATCCAATAAGACTCAAATTCTTAATTATTAAATTTGTTGCGTGCAGGCCCTTTTTCGTAGATACTATCAGGAAACAGTGGGTTCTCTAAAACTCTTCGTGTCTGAATCGTTGTTTGGGGCGAAATCCATAGAATGCTTGAGTTATATTTTCTCCGGGTTTCTACGGGACCAGTCTCTTTCTCTCTTAACTGATGCTCAAGAGGTGATTCCCAATAATTTTTTGTTAACGTGATCACCAGTAGTTCTTAATGAGAAGGGAAAGGCTTATCTAAATTTCTTGCATTCAATAATCAGTATTACATTTTCACTCCTAGTTATAAAATACCTGAAGCATTTATGAAATTTTTAGGATATGTCCTTCAGTCTTCACTGAATTTGAAATTTTTTGTATATGCGAAAAAGGAGAATCACACACACTCTTTAATGACTTTCATTAAGAGAAATTTTAGAATGTCAGAGATAATTTTTGAAAATATATAAAATCAAAAAACTAATTTTAATTAACCACCTTTCCTAGTATATGTGATTCAATTAGAATCATCTTTTAAATAGGACTGAGGATGTAGTTAAATTGATATATTTAATTAATGAAAGGTAAAAAAAGCAAACATTATCAAAAAGGAAAGTGATTTCAATATATATTTGACTGATCACTTGGTATGTATACGTGGCTTTAGCAAAGTTGCAAGTGGCAATAAGGATTGTGCACTAAAGGATGAAACATAAATATATTTTTTCCAGTCACAATTTTAGTACTGCACCGTATATGGTCACTTAGCTTGCAAAATCTCAGTTAAATTTTGTTTATCTATTTTTATTTTAGTTTGTCTTCTAATATATATGACCTGATGTATGCTTTGAAGGTTTTTCTAATTGTGTTTCGAATTGCAAATAAATGGACGGGGGCCAACCACAGAGTAAAAATTCACATCTTGAAGGTATATATTCTGTTTCTCCTAACCATCCAGCATATAAAATGTCATTTATATGACTATCAAAATAGCGTCCTTTTGAAAACCAAAATGGCTTTGTGGAACTATTAGACACCGAAATTATTAGAAACATTTTCCTTTTGAATTGGGGAATTTCATAATAGGATGACCATGCTTAATTAAAAATAACTAACCCCTTGTAGTATACCATTTAATTGAATAATTGTTTGCATGCCTAAATATCCACTAATACCAAAATATTCAGGGTAATCATGCATCCTCCCGAGAAATTTATTTAATATAATGATAATTCTTTTATATTACCACGATGCAGGCATTGGCTCAATTGTGCAAATTGCCACAGCTCGTAGCTGACAAATTCCTTAACATAATCATGCCCGTCTTGATCCAGACTCTTGAAAACGCCAATAATATTCCCTACACCATGTTTGGCTTCAAATCTTCCCCTCAATTCCTCAACTTGGTTGCTGTCAGGTTTAGGTAGGCATCACCACTCCTAACGATTAGCATATTTATGTTTTGTAGGACGTTGACCATTGCTCAGCAAAGTCCGACTTGCCCTGAGCAGACGCTTTTGGCCTGTGATTTACTGTCGAAGTTCGCTGATCGATTCCAGGAACAATTTGCACCTTGGGCTTCCCGGGTAATTGGTTTGGTTTGTAGCTATATATGCACGTCACGTTACGTTGATTTTCCATATTCAAACATAGAGACATTTTCCTGCGACTGATTTCGACTTCCAATGATTAGGTCTCTCCCCTTTTGACCCGCCTGTTCAGGAGTAATAATACTGCTGACCGTGAAGATGCTAAAATAGCATCTGTTAAAGGTATTTCTGATTTTATTGTGACAAGTAGTACTATTCTAATTAATCAACTAGTTTTTATATTAAATACCGGAGTAGTATTATTTATTTAAAACTTTGGGTTTCATTTAAGTATAAGCTTCCCTTAATTTCTAGCCCTTCCAAGCGTATTGCTCTCGTGCCAAGACAGAAGAGAGTCCCAAAGAACTCTGTTTAACTTCACTGTACGAGCACTGCTCGAAGCTTTAGAAGAGGTATCTGGTTATGGTCGTTAAAGTTGTTGCATCATTCGTTGGTCTTTATATCAACTCAAACTATTGCACAATATTGAGTTCCAAATCACTACAGGAAATGGAAAGAGCGAAGGGTATTGCAATGTTAAAAAGCCTCAATTCATGCATTGCGGTACGTGGGACATAAATGTAAATAGACACACACTTGAGCTTAAATTCTTCGACTACGTACGAATATCACAATGTGCATGTGCAGATCTCGGGATCAGTTCTTGGTGCGGATGTAATCAATCGGATTGCTGATTTGTTACACCAAGTACTCTCTCAGACGTCATTTGCCAATCTTCAAAAAGAGATGGGACAAGGAGAATTGTCTCCCGACTCGATTGATAAACTGGAGCAAGAGGAGGAAATAATTCAAGTCTGTTTTTATCAATATTGAACATGTTCTTTTCTGTATCCATTTCTTCGGTTGAGGCCAATAAATCGTATCTTTGTGTTTTCGGTTGAAGGGTGCAACCTGCTTAGTGACAATGATAAATACACTGAAGTCTGCGTTCTTAACTCATATTGACGAGCTTCTGCCAGCAGTTGAAGCGCTATGGGTTAGTCCCGTTCGTCTTGCTAAATATTTGTAGAATATGTATAATTTCCTTTGAGGGTCCTTTTTTTTCCTAATTGCTATTATTCTCCCGCAGGGTCATGATAATGGCTACCCAGATAAAGTGAAAGCAGTGGCAATCTCCATTTTTAACTTGATTTTGAAGGACTACCCGGATAGATTGCAAAGGTTTAACCTGTGATATATCTGAATACAATTCGCCTTTAATATTCATATGACTCGTTCAGGTCAATGTTATTGGATCAGGTATCTTGATACATATGCTCTGGTCGTCATGGAACTTTGTTACTCAGAAAGTCCTCAGCTTCAATGGGTATTTATTTCTGCAAAACGAGACATCTCTGTTCTGTTCTGTCATTTGTGTTCTGAGCCTTTCTGCATTTATGCAACTTATAGGAAGCTGCCCGTGGGATTGGCTTATGTGCTACACATAGAGGACTTGTATCCAACTTTGATGCCCCTGGTAGCCTCCTTACCCTCTTAATTACAGGTACAGAAGGGAAGTTATACCTAAGTAAATTTATTGAATTTGTGCAGTGGCTATCGGCAGCCTATATCATGTAATAGAGTGTGGAATCGAATCAAAGAGGGAAATGACATATGATGCCGCTGTATCAGCTTTGGGGAAAATATGTGAGTTCAGGCGTGATATTATTGACGGCCCTCAGGTAACATTTTTCCATATTATTCTTTCATGTATTTTCCTGTTTTCTTATGGGATGTATACATATATCTGTGTAGGTGCGACCCCTTTTCATGTTAGTTTCTATATGTTATAATTTTAACATGCTATATTTTTACCACTGATAAGCAGGTGGTTTCAATCTGGCTAAACTTCTTGCCGTTAAGAAATGACAGTCGTGAAGCTAAATATGCACACCAACAGCTCTGTAAAATGTTAAAGAGGTAGAAGGTTTTCTGTTTTTGATTTAATTACTTTATCTTTGTAATTATTTTGGAACTAACAAACATGAATGATGTCCCATATATAGTAAGTTGGAATTTGGAAACTATCATCATCTTCTATTCTGTTTCAGGTTCGATCAGGATCTTTTAGGTACTGACAATGAGAATCTTGGTCAGGCTATTCAAATTTTAAACGAGGTAATGATGATGATTTCTAGTTAAAATATATCCATCTCTCCTTGCTTTTAATTCCGATACATTTTGATTTATTTGAGTAAATTTTTATCATTGCAGATTTTATTACAAAGTGACTATCTAGCAACTGAAGAAACGACATGCTTGATCATTTCTTTGCTAAGCCAATTTGGAGCCCTGTCATAAGTCTTTATTGAACAGCACACCAAATAAATATTATTTTTAGGCAACACCCCTGTATATGAAAAAATAATTACAGATCATCTATTAATATAGTTATTATACTGTTACTGGATTTGAACTCACATTTTCACAAGATGTGAATTATATTATATTTTTATTAACTAATTCAACTTTACAAAAAATCTTGTTATCACTACATACAAGCATAATAATGAAGGGTGAACTCTCTTTTTTTTCCCCCCCTTTTTGATGAAGGAAGGGTGAACTCTTCATGATACGTTTTGAAGAAATTAACAGTTCGAAAAGACAAAGAAGGGAATATCAGCATGCAAAAAAATCCCAGTACTTGAAGAATTTTCATGGCCTCGAGAAAAAGAACTTTTAAAACGCATGCGAAATCTGAAATTGAAAAAAATTATAATGTCATTAATGATGATATTTAAATTCTAACTTATTTTTTTATGAAAATACAAATGACAAAATAATCCTTTTGCTTGTGTTTTTTTTTTTTTTTTATTACAACTTTTGCTAATCTAATTAATGCTTTCATTTTTAAGGAGCATATAAGTTTCTTTGGCAACAAATATGCATCTAAACAATAACAATAAAAAAAGGGAAGCAATCAATATTAATATAAACAGAAAACATGAAAATTATAAAATGTCAACAATATAACTCATCTCAAGTTTGATACAAATACTTGAAATCCACGTTAATTAAACTAGAACACACACACGCGAAGAGTCTGTAACACATGACCCTCTTTCTTATTTTTATATATAGAGATGCATAAATAAATTTACTGATGATTTATTTTAGTATGTAGAAAAGTCGGTCAATAAAAATGCTCTCAAAACAGTCGCACAAATTTTACTTTTGAATAAACTAAAAAATTGAAGCGTTTTCCACTTTCTCAAAATCACTTAATTAAATCAGATATATTATACAACCATACTACCTTGTTCTTAATGTAAGATCTAATTAATCAATTTGGAAAGATTGTGAAAGTTGTTAAATTACTTTAAATTATTTATATTTATAGCTTTTCTCTAAACCAATTTGCCTTACTTATAACTTAATATTACTTCTGGTTCTAATTATAAGATTTCATTTGTAGTCTACAAATGATGTCTTATGATTAGAACCAGAGATAGTATATAATTTAACGATACACATAAGTATTTTAGAGAGATCAGGTAATATATACTATAATTAGGTAATTTAGTAATTTTTTTAATTTCTCAAAGTTAGTCAAATTTTATATTGATATTTTTTCCTAGAAAATAAACCTGATCTCTTTGAACCAGCGACAGTTATATAAGCTTGGTAGAATTTTTTTCCTCAGCGGAACATGGACAAAATGGTAGAACCTAATGCTATTTCTGATCATTAATATAAGAGTTAGTTTGACTTTTATTTTGATCCTAAATATAAAACCCCAATCCACTTTGTTTTTCATATTTAACTATTTTTTTAAAAATAGTTCTTATAATAATGGTAATTCTGGCCAATATACTTAAATAGTAATGATATTTTAGAAAAAATAATACCTATTTATTACAAATAACTAACTTAACTAGTTTTTTTAATTTATTAAAATTAGTTAGCTAACTCGTATATTAAATATCAGTGCTAGTATTATAACCCTTCCAAATTTCAGTTAAACAAAAAAAAAAAGATAACCTTTTATTAAGGTCAACTTTTAAAGACTTTTAAGTACTAATTAGCTTGCGAAATGGTGGGAGGCGATAGAGAAATGCCGACGTCACCAACTGTCGTAACGGTATTTGTGTTTTGTGCATGAGATTCCAATCCCAGCATCTTAAACCCAATATTCAAAAGCTCCAATACCTTCCCGTCTTCCTCTACTTCCTCACCCTCCGACCCGCGGAACTCCCCAACAATGGCATCCGCCACTTCTGGTAGTAAACGTTCTTCACGGCCAGCGTCTCCACCACCGCCTCCTCGACGTCGTGAGAAGCGTGAACGCGTAAATGTGAGGAAGGTAGAGAAAGAAAGGTTCTTCAACAAAAAGTACCAGCGCAGGTATGGCAAAGGTATACATATAGTGCCAGCTAAGATTCGTCCTGAGTCGAGTAAAGAAGCCAAGAGAAGGCGGCGCATCATCATCTCCGTCCAAGATTATCAAGAACTCACTAGAGCTGAAATAAACGAGCTCCAATTTGCGGCTGTTGACCTTTTCGATTCCAATAACCATTCGCGCTACCTATCTCTCGTCTGCGACTTCGCTAACGCCTCGGTTTCTCAAGAGAATCCACAATCACAGTTCAAGGCCCTCTGGCATTTCTGTGCCCATCGATTCCCAAATGATTTATCTCTCATGCTCGCTCGACTCCTCAACTCGTCTCTTCCCTCTGGTATCAGAATCCACACCCTTGATCTGCTCCACCTGACTCTAAATCAGATTCACGGCCAAGACCGGTCAAGTATTGATGAACGAGTCCTTGTCCACCTCAAACCCCTGCTTCTTAACGTTATTCAGCACCGTGAAACAATACCTAACATGCTTAATTTATCTGAAATAGCCGCCAGGATCTTTGAAATCGAAAGATGGAACGAACTTCTTGACTATCTTTATCCGAGGCCCTTCATACCGACTTGGAAACGAAGCAAGAAATGGCCCTCAGGGTGTTATCGTGTTTGCCCGAGACAAGGGAAGAATGTCTAGGAGCATACAAATTTTGGTGGGCCAAACGTGAGGCACTTTTCTTTAGATTCTTCCAGCTATTTGATTCTCCCAATCTCAATATCCAGGCTTTGACATTTGATGCCTCTGTTAAGTTGGTACGCCTGCTGCACCGTTGGAAGTTTTACGACGGAATTGACCACCTATTAGCAACAATGATTAGGTTCCTACAAGCATTCCACAAGGACGGTCAAATCGATATTGTGGAACCTAGAATGATGGATTTGGCGGAACTGGCGAGGTATTATACTGACTATTTTTTGAAGCGACTTGATGTTGTGTTGGACTGCATGTTCCAAGTTGCTGCGACTGCAGATGACAACGCTTTTCTCAAGTGCCAGGCGATTCAAATCATTAAGATAATCGATGAAAAGGATATGGTTCAAGCCTCACAGTTTCTTCATAAGCTTTCTAATGAAGCTAAACGCAGTATTATCGAGAATTGCGTGCGCTTGATGTTTTGTATAGCAGACGTTCCTGCTTGGTATGATATAGACACGCCATCGAGTGAATATACGGGGATCTCGGGAAGTTACCAACTAGGAAAGTTCTTACTATTTCGGGTCAGCTTGGACGCACAGGAAGACGTACTAGTTTCCTTTGGAATTGAGATGATACCACAGTATTTGACTTCAGCAGATTGGCAGACCCGTCATGCAGGATTGATTGCTTTTTCTGCAATTGGAGGCGCGTGTGGCCCCGTAATTTGATCTTTTCCCTGCTACTGTTCTTTTTAATTTTGAAGTGTTATTTGTGTTTAAGAAAGACGTAATTTTTCAAGCACTTAATGAACTATGTTCATTAAGGAATACGTATGTGAACTGTTTCCTCTATATTTATTTTCTCTGTGGCTGCCACAGGAAGTGTTGTGTGACCATGCGGAGAGAGTGCTCGAGATCTCATTGACTGATCGCCACCCTCGCGTACTTTGGGCTGCCATTGAAGCAATTATATGTTTAATTACGGACTCTGATCAAGAGCATGTCCAATATCTGAACAAGTTCCTCCCCGGACTAGTCACCATAATTAGATCATCTTCAATTTATCCACGTGTTCAGGTACACAGACACTAAGTGGATTCTGTAATCTTTAATTTGAACGCAAATTTGGCTGTCTTCTTAACCTCAAATTTCCATGTGATTATTACATTCTCTCTTATGGCATGCGCAACTAACTTGTTTCGCGGATACATAAATAAATATACATGATCTGCAGTTGCATGCAGCAATAGTAATTCGTCGCCTGATTACCAATTGCGGCGCTGAGGAAGTGAAGTCATTCTTGGAAGATCTGGTGCCGGAATTGCTAAATCTTCTAAAGGTACTTATGACTAGGCATGGAAATTCTTTCAAAATTGCTTAAACTATGTTAGTGTAAGTGACAAGCTTTTAAATTGTGTTAATGTGAATTCTAATTCTAATAAACATTCAGAGTTAAGTGCTCTCTTCTTGCAGCGAGGCGAGAAGTTCTGGGAAGAAGCTGCGGAAACTCTAAAATTACTGGCAGTATCATTTCCGGTATATCTTAATTGATACCTCATAGTCATATTGTCGAACCATGGACGTGCTGATTTTATTGAATTTGTTGGGGCAGGTCATTTTTCGTAGGTACTATCAAGAAACAGTGGATTCCCTAAAATCCTTCGTGTCTTCATCATTATTTGGGGCGAAATCCATAGAATACCTGAGCTACATTTTTTTCGGGTTTCGCCGGGACCAGCCCCTTTATCTTTTAAATGATGCGCAACAGGTAATTATTAATAATAAATATTACATTTTCACTGCACTCCTAACAAATTATTATTACATTAATCTTAATTATTTTTAAATCTATATGGTTCAATCAAAAGCATTTTATAATTAAACAGGATTGAATTATGTAGTTGAAGTATATTTAATTGATGACAGAGGGGAAATGGAAAAAAAAATATTAGTGAAAAGGAAAGTGATCTTAATATAGATCTATATTTTTTTTTTATATATATTACCATCTCTCTGTTAAAAATGTGATGATATATTCATACATCATTGGACAGAGAATGTACTGTTGGAAAACACTTGCTATTTCAATTACAAATATTTGATTAGAAAGTTATTATATAGCTCTCCGTGGAATAGTTTAGCGAGGTATGCTTTATGTTATTTAAATTTGTCCTTTAATAGAAATGGATAATATGATTAGTGAAGTAATATAAAACTTATTTAATTTTAGTTTCTCCATTTTTATGAAGATTTTTAATTTTTAGAATTATTTTTTATGGCGAGATTATTTACAGCTGGCTATGTATGATAATATGCTGCCTTAGCAAAGTTGCATGTTCCAGCGCAGCAACGATTGGGCACTAAAGAATGAAAGCATAAATAATTTTTTTTCCAGTTGCAATTTTACTACCGCACCATATATGGCCACTTTTAGTTTGGAAAGCTGAGTTAAATTTTACTTTGATTTTAGTTCGGCTGCTCATAATATGAATCGTAATGCTTTGAAGGTTCTTCTAACTGTGTATCGAATCGCAAAAAATTGGATGGATACCGACAACAGAGTAAAAATTCACATATTAAAGGTATATTCTGTTTCTCCTAATCAACCATCTAGTATAGCTTGTAACATTTTTGAAAATCCAAGAAATTAAAGAAGGGCTCGTTTGGACAACATACATAGCTACCTTATAGTATATTATTCTTTTATTTCCTTTAGCTTATACTATAAATAGTTGGATGATTTCTTCCTTTCTTACATGAAGTTGATTAATTAACACGTACGATGCAGGCATTGTCTCAATTGTGCAAACTACCGCAGCTCGTCGCTGACCAATTCCTTAACAAAATCATGCCTGTGCTGATTCAGACTCTTGAAAATACTAATCCCTACATCATGTTTGGCTTCAAATTTTCCCTTCAGTTTTTTTCTTAAAAAACATTGCTGCGATCAGCTTTAAGGTACTTGTAAAAGGTTGGCGGCCACCATTTATAACAATATGTATATATATCTGTTTTGTAGGACGTTGACCATTGATAAGCAAAATTCGACTTGCCCTAAGCAAAGACTTTTGGCTTGTGATTTACTGTCGAAGTTTGCTGCTCGATTCCAGGAACAATTCGCACCTTGGGCTGCCAGGGTAATACAAGTCATGTAACTTTGATTTCGATACATATATAAACACGCACATTGAGACTTTTTCTTGTGACTGTTGCGACTTCCAATGATTAGGTCTCCCCTCTTTTGACCTGCCTGTTCAGCAGTACCGACCCTGATGCAAAAATAACATCTGTTAGAGGTATTTCTGACTCCATCATAACAATATTATTTAAAATGTTGGGTTGCATTTCTAAGTATAAGCTTCCCTTAATTTCTGTTTCTAGCCCTTCCGAGCATATTGCTCTCGTGCGAACACAGAAAGCAGTCCCAGAGACTTTTGTTTAACTTCACTGTACGAGCTCTGGTCGAAGCTTTACACGAGGTATTTGTGGTTGTGGCCGTTAAAATTATTGCATCATTCGTTGGTCTCTGTTTCAACTTTCAACCCATACTGTTTGTTTCGCAATTTCTTTCACTGAGCTGGCTAGTTTAATTAAGAGAGCTTCAAATCATTGCAGGAAATCGACAGAGCGATGCGCATAGGAATGTTAAAAAGCCTCAACGCATGCATTGCGGTACGTGGAAACGTCCATTGAAATCACACACACAAACTTTGGCTTCTGTGCTTCTGTTATGGGGACATAACAATGTGCTTGTGCAGATCTCAGGAACAGTTTTCCATGAGGATCTAATCAAGAAGATTGCAGATCGCATATACCAAGTCCTCTCTCAGAAGTCATTTGCCAATGTGGAAACAGAAACGGGGGAAGAAGCATCGTCTCGTATCGATGCGAGTGATAAACGGGAACCAGAGGAGGAAATAATTCAAGTCCGTGCTAAAATTCTTTTATTTTTGTTTCGGGTTTTAATCTCTAAATAATTGAACATATACTATGTGGAAAATCCCTTGTGCTTCACGATTGAGAGCAGTAAATTGTATCTTCGTGTTTCCGATTGAAGGGTGAAAACTGCATGGTGACAATGATATATACATTGAAGTCTGCGTTCTTAACTCATGCTGACAAGCTTCTGCCAGCTGTTGAAGCGCTATGGGTCAGTTCCGCTATTTTCCAATATTAATTTTCTCAACTTACACATATGAAGCATGATGATGTCTTGATCATTTGATTCGACTCTCGGGCAGGGTCGTGATAATGACTACCCAGATAGAGTGAAAGCAGTGGCAATCACCATTTTTAACTTGATTTTGAAGGACTACCCAGATAGATTGCAAAGGTTTAACCTGTGATGTATCTGAATTCAATTACGAGACCTTAATATTCGTGAGCCCTTTTCGTCAATGTTATTGGATCAGGTATCGTGATACATATGCTCTGGTCGTCATGGACGCTTGTTACTCAGAAAGTCCTCAGCTTCAACGGGTATTTATTTCTGCGGAATGCGCCAGCTGCTCTGTTTCTTTTGTAACTTATATTCTGAGCTTTTCTACATATTTATCTTATAGGAAGCTGCACGCGGGATTGGTCTATGTGCTACACATAGAGGACTTATACCCAACTTCGATGGCCCTGGTAGCCTCCTTAATTAGATTCACCTTCACAAGCACAGTAGGGAAGTTGGAGCTGAGTGTAAACTAGTTTTTATTGAACATGCATAAGCGGTGAATTTGTGCAGTGGCTATCGACAGCCTATACCATTTAATAGAGCGTGGAGCCGAATCAGGGAGGGCACTGACATATGATGCCGCGGTTTCAGCTTTGGGGAAAGTGTGTGAATTCAGGCGTGAGGCTATTAACGGCCCTCGGGTAAGATAGTTGAGTTGCATAGGCTAGGTCTGGAAGGGCTTCTAATTACTCCTATGTTATTATAATATGCTATGTTTTAATTACTGGTAATAAGCAGGTGGTCCCGATCTGGCTAAATTTCTTGCCATTAAGGATTGACTTTGAAGAAGCCAAATATGCACACAGACAACTGTGTCAAATGTTAGAAAGGTCTAACCCCCCCCCCCAACTGTGTCTTCAAATTTTGTTGAAACAATCTCGAGTGAACTTCAACAATAAGTTGAAAACTGTATCATTTTCTATTTTGCTTCAGGGCTGATCAGGATCTGCTGGGGCTCAACAACGAGAATCTTAATCAGGCTGTTCAAATTTTAAAGGAGGTAGTGACGATCTCGAGTTAAAGTCTCCCTTCTCTCCTTACTTTTGATTTATTCAAGTAATTTTTTTTCTTCACAGATTTTATTACAAAGTGACAATCTGGCAACTGAGGAAACGACAGGCCTGATCATTTCTTTGCTAAGACAATTTGGAGCCCCGTCATGATTGTTTATTTAACAAGAAGTCAATAACACACCAAACATTGTTACTTAGGCGACTGTGGAGAAAGGAAAAAGAATTTGATCTTTTGAGCGTGTAGTTGAATTTATCTATCGCACAAACGAATAATACATTAGTTGAATAGTTGTAGTCTGTTCTTTTCATCAATCATGTAGTTTGACATCGTGGCCGAATTTCTCAACCCCTTTTAGAAATATTTCCAAATAAACTCAATTATATATATATTTGCAATTTTTTAGTGTAACCCCGGATCAAGATCAGATGATAACTAATCATCGTAATAATTAATAAGGTAAAAATGATTCTAACTTTGAAGGGACCAGATCCAATATGGGAGGACACTTGTGAAAGATTTGCGGTCGACGCAATATTAGCCACGTCGATGCATCGCTGTTACGTCACGTGCCGACGTGTTGCCTACTCATTGAACTGTCGATGTTCATAAAGTAACAATCAAAACCGCCCCTATTAAGTACTCGACACGTGGGCCCTGCTCCCTCTGCTTCTTTTGCGACCATTCCTCGCAAGCCATAACTCCCGAGTGAACTCAGCCGAGGTTCCGTCTTCTTCACCACCCCCCTTTCAGTCACTGAGAATGGCCGAGAAGCCGAATGGAATGTACGGGGAGGTAGCCGGAGAAGACGCTGACGAGAGTTTCAACGGGAGCTCCCGTGGGCCTCACCAGAGGGAGAGGGAGAGGGAGAGGGAGAGAGAGACCTTGTATGGGGTTCTTCACCGTCTGATTACCTCGATTATTTTCCCGGCACCGGATAACGCGGCAACCATGCTCAACCGAATCAAGATCTCCGTCTCCCAAAACGTCCCTCTCATCCCGGAAGCCAGTAAAAATACTGGTCGCGATGTTCTTCTCTGGACACGTCGTGGTAGTCCCCTCCGAGCTCTCCTGGTCATCTCCGTAAGTATTTATTTAGCATTATTGTATGGTTTCTAGATGCAGCTGGAAAATTTGGAGTTGAATCATCTCTATGTTTACGTTGTATAATTTTATCTTGTGTGCTTCGTTCGGGAAATTGGAGATTATTTTGCTTTGTCTAATTTGATTCATTCTCTTCAAGACTGAAGCCTCTGATTGATAGTAGTGTCCGCACACGACCTACTCATAGCTATAAAAGGACAATCCATTCTAGCGGCAGAGTAGTGTCCGCATGTGAGAATTGCAGGAGTATTTTTCCCCCTCCCCAAATAAGAGGGGCAAAAGTTATTCATGTCAAGAGTATGATAAGTATAAAAGGTTATTATAAGGGTCTCAACCCATCTGAAAGCAGAAAGACGGATCTTCTCTTCATACTCCTTAATCCAACATCTAGTCAACTCTTGCCAATCTGCCATGAACTGGCCGTTAATTCGATCATTTAAGAGGTTTGAAATTGTTTATGCTTCTGCTGTTCAGCTATATTACGATGATTAAAAACGGAATAGGTAGATATGTGAGGAAAAATATCCATTGCAAATATGTCTGCCTACCCTGTTTCTAAGCTTCCTGGAAATACTTTTTTTAAAAAAAAAAAAAAATTTCAGTCGTTTATTTTTGGTGCTTTCCCTCACTTGATGGAAACTCTTCTTCATACTGTTGTTGTTATTAAGCTGTTGATTTCGACTTGCTTTATGATAATATTATATTATTTTCTTTTTCAAAAAAAATGATATATTCTGGATATTCAATGTTAGTCATATGAATTGATCTTATTTGATTGATTTTCTGTGCCCTTTTTCCTCAGCATTATTTGAAGCAATTATCTCATGAGGATTTCCATTCGTTTAATATTCTGTTAATTTTTATACATGGGTGTACTTATGCTGGGGCATGTACCCTAATAAGTTTTTATGGTATCCTCTCCAAACACTTTGAAGAAGGTTGGCAAAAGAATAGCATATTGGAGACAACTTATTGTTGTTGATCGGCATTGTAGGATATAAGACAGCACTTACTTGGATTTTGTTCAAATATCTTTGTTTTACAAATTAAGGGTGTTGGTATTTCTGGATAAACAGAAAGTCTTATTTGATTTTGAATTAAGAAATAGTTAAGTTATAGTTATAACATATATTGTGCCGGTAACATAATGAGAAGAATTCTGCTATAGGAGTTCAAGTAGGTTTGTTTGCCTTCAAGGTAGGAATCAAAGTCACTGAAAGCACGGAGGATTGTTATTAGTCCATGGAAAGTTTGAGTGTTAGTTTCGGCGTCATTTATGCTTTTCCTCTTGTAATCATAATGCTTATCAGGAATTATTTTCTCTATCCACCCAAAAGAGAAAAATAAAAGAAAATATTACTTGTTTTTTTGAATTTCCCACCTCCAAAAGAAAATTACTTAGAGCACATCACCATATCAAAAACACGGAGCATGGTAGCTTTCTTTTTGTCGATTTTGTTATTTTTTTTAACCTTGTTCTGATTGTTGTGTTTTGTTTTCCTAAATTGCTGCAGGTTGGAACAATTACTTGTGTTGCTCTGACTGGACTGCTTGTCTTTGCACTTTTCTTTCTGGCTGCAACCATAAATGCGATTGTCATCTCACTTCTCATGTCCTTGGCAGCGGCAGGAGGATTCTTGGCACTGTTCTTTGCTTTTGTAACGGTTATATACATCGGAGCATTATCAGTAGCCATATTTACTATTTCCACCGTTACATTCTGGACAATTGTCGCCATTCTGATAACCACAGGTAACAAGTTGTTTGACCACCTCGTACTCTGCATCGACCGGATCTTGTTTCTGATTCATCTTATATGCTATGACATGATTATAGATATTTTTAACAGATGCTGGAACTGTAAAATGCAGTTGCTTCAGGCGTGTCAAAGGCATATGTTTCTTGGACAATATGTGATTCTAATTAGGATTCTAAACAAATACATTTTCATTTCAGCCGAACTGAATAATCGAAGGTGTTGATTTTATTTTCAATTAGGCAGGCACTGCCAAATTTAACCAAGCTAATATTTTGTCCTATTCTATTTAGTACGATTTTTATTTGGTCACATCATGTACATAATTACATAAATGATGAGAGTTATGTACCACCTACTGGACTCATAATGAGTTTTAGTGACTTATTAATGTGTTGATGTCGGCAGATAATGGGGATAGACTTACCAGTCAAGACATTTGCCATAGACCAGATTACCTGTTTACACTTTTTTTCCTATAGATCTCTTGACAGCATTTATAGACTATCTTTGTGGAGATGTTTGAACCATTCTAAACTGCAACATATCTTCTCCCTTTCATGTTCAACACCGAATTGCTTTACTTCGCCTCTGTTTCCCCCCCCCCCCCCCCGGGGGGGGTTTAATGACATTTTAATGTTACTTGGACATGGAAACCAATACGAGTCAGGCTGGATCGGATTCTTTTGGACTGTTTGGTTGGCGACTAAAAAGAGCTTTGGGTTTGCCAAACACTCACTGAGCGTGACGGGCTCTGCAATATCAACTTACACTGCTGCAAGGCATGGCCGCCGCCTAGTACGCAAAGATTCAGATTAAAATCAGAGAATACATAAAGAAGCTTATGTACATATGGGTTCGAGTTATAATGGGGAGAATTCGTTGCCTATTATCACGTTGTTCTGTTCTCGTGTCTGTATAGTAGAATAAAACAATGCAGGCTGTGTTGTGTTGCGAGCCTAAAGTTTGAGCATAAACAGTGGCCCTTTGTTGTACATTATTTATACTGGGAAAGAGGGATTGAACTTATGTGGTGACTGTTGTAAAGATATTTAATGCATCGATCAGTTGCTCCTTTGATGTTAACAGATGCATATGCATATGAGTCTTCTTTGGAATCAAAGGGCGTGGGCTGGTGTTTCTAGTCTGGGTCTCACTCTCTCACTGATATTTAATTTCTTCTGCAAAGGAATGACAAAAGAATAATAGTAAATATCAAGGAATACGTGTGCGCGTATTCATACATATTTGGGAGGATATGGAAAGGACCCCAAGTTTAGTCCTTCACACTCATTGTTGCCGGGGACTCACAAACGTCACAACCCGCTCTCCAAATGTTTCCTTCTTCGAGTTCTTTCAGAGCCCCAGAATTAATAAATATAGTTTTTTTTTTCATCACAAGAAAAGATTAGATGAGTCAGAGCTTGAGGTTGATCAAGATCAAGATATGCTTTTAAACTCAGTATTTACATCACTCACTAGCAAAGTTTTTAACAACTGAATTTGAAGTCATGACCTTATGAGTTATGAGACAATTCTTTACCATTTGAATCAATACTTATTGGTATAAATAAATATAGTTAGACTTAGGAGAGTTTGCCAACCCGTATATAATCACCTAATAAAGTGTTTTCACGCATGTTGAGGGGAAAAAAAAAGTCTCTTATGTATTTATCTCAACTCCCTTAAAATCATTTCTAAAAAACTAACACAAATACCACTTAATAGCTATCTATTATAGGTCATATAATTCTAGTGGTGTTTCAGAACACTCAAGAAAATCACTTTTATCGTTAATATTACCTCCGTCCTAATTATAAGGCCTTGTTTGTAGAATAAATTACTTAGTATGGTGTCTTTCATATAATTATTTGCATAACAAAATTACTTAGAATAAATGAAACCAAACATCCTCTTTGCTTCTAGCCAAAATTTTTCATGAATTTTGTTGGGGTGAAATAAGAAAAAAAAGACATTTTTTAGCGTAACCAAAACGCATATGTTGTTACTTGGCTCTTCTTGGACGTTCTTGACTTTATCATTCAGGTTAGTGTAATTTTCTTTTCTTTTTCTTTTCAAATTCACGTGTGTAGATTATCGTAGTGATTTGATAGAAAACAACTGCTAGCAGTTTAATTAGTGCAGAAACATTGACTAATAATCATTAAGCTAGCCTGGAACCAGCAGTTGGGCAAATTGTTCACCTCTTTGCAGTTTGCACCTTCCTACCATCCATGCGTGTGAAAATAATGTGAAACACGAAGTTATCCGGAAATCACGAAATGTTCGGTTCGTACCTCAGAGATGTCGGCAAGCATGCGCGACTTTGATTCAATCATTGATTGGAATAATCAGAACTCAAGACCAATGAACTGACCTTGCTACTATCTGAATATGCCATAATTATTTACACAGGAAAGAAAAGTGAGATTACCCTTATGGACAATAATAATTGGCGTGGTTCGATGGCAGAGAGAGGCAGAGTCAAAGTGAGTGAGGTTGGCGCCGTAGGAAACATGGAAATTGTATGCACCATGGTAAACAGGACACGATACCATCTTCAATGAAAACAAAACAGGGGAAGTCAGGAGTTTAGATTCCTCAAACTTGACAGCAAAAACAGGGCCACAGTTCTGTCGGCTTGATCATTACATGAATATCATTCCTGCTCTAAGAGACTGTCCCGGCGTTAATTCATCAAATGAATGAAAGGGACAAAGGGACCCATGATTATTTACGCGACAAAGGTCCGTAGACTTTTGCACTGGGAGCTTCAGCAACATGTCAAATCCTACAGAATTAAATAGATGGCCTCCATGTGATCAAATGTATTTGTCCAAAGATGGGGCGTTGCATGATTTTTATAGAATTGACACTGCTGGGTTCCATAACTTGGCATATTACAGGACCACGAGATTCCAATACAGCTTTGAAAGCAGTAGAATCACCATATGCAAATACGCATGGGATCGAGTGTATTTTGATTAGGTGCCTAATAATCTTGGCCAACAAAGTAAATTTTAGTTGCCTGAATAATAATAACAATAATAATAATGGATCTTTAAATTCCCTTCAACCGAACAGGACTGCGGCGGCTAATGAATCACCCCCATCGTCTGTCCCCAGCTGAAACTACACACTTGTATTGTTTTCTTAGTTTACTATGTCAAACCCCTCGCTGAAACAGAGATGTTGACACAACCAGTGATACACAAAACTTAGACCAATATTTTAATACGGCAAAGCTCATCTGTCCAACTACGTAATTTTGACTATACACAGACATTCCTTCCCTTCGTTTTCGCATATACGTCACCTCGTACACCCGCCGACGGTCACGACAAAACCTACGTTTGAATTTCCTCCACATACTGTCATTCATTCCCCAGCTGCCTCCCCATCAAGTCGTTGTCTTTAATTGAAAACGCACTTATCATTTATCAGCATGCCTTAATCGTGGCTACTTTAATCTACCTGATCATATGGATCGCTATACTTGTGCATATATATATACGCGGCTATATGGCAAGCTGGCCAGCAAGCTTAATTAAGCAATCATCATCATATCGTAACCCCCAAACAGAACATTCCATATCTTCAGAAAAATTGCACGATGATGCAAGATTATTCCAGTTGCTATGGTTCATCGGTGACAGAGGAATCAAAGGATGTGAAACATGCAGATTCGTGGCTGCACTCAGTGAGGAAGCCAGCATCAAAGCCGTGCAAGAAGGCTCCGGTGGCGCCGATGCCTCCACCTCCGATCAAAGTGTACAAGGTGGATCCTATGAACTTCCGGGACCTTGTTCAACAGCTTACTGGTGCACCCGAGTTCAAGCCTCATGATCACCATCTTCAAGGCCTTCCATCCGCAGTACCTATGCCTGTTTCTTCTTCCTTTGTTGATGCTTCCGGCAGAGACAGTGCGACAGTAACCTCCCCAAACTTCAATTGGGCTACCCAAGCGCCTACGTCTAATCTGTACCTGCAGGATCACTTGCAAGCTGATGCAATGGGAATGGGACTGAAATATCAAGATCTTTCGGGGACGCCCTGGAATTGATGAATCTGTATGCGCCTTCTTATAATAATTGCTATTCTTCCCCCGCCCCTCTTTTTCTGTCTCCTTAAGTCTGGCAACTATGACCAGCAAAGCAGGTTTCACCTCATCATATGTAATGCACTTCCCACTTATATATTTTATTATCTACCGTTCTACCCCAGCAGATGTATTGTCCTTTCCACTTATATAAACTACTATAATATAAAGGAAGAGGGGGAGTGAGGCGGAAAAGTGCCAAGAGAAGGCAACTTTCTCTAAACTCCCGCAGGCGACTATTCACCTTTCCTTTTTTGAGAAACAAGGACGACCCTGAGCTTGAGACAAAATTAGCACGTGCTGCGTCATTAATTCGAAGCCGCCAAAAACTAACGACTTAGTTAATGCGGTAAGATGTATATCCTACAACGTAACTTAGCACAACGACTTTGTGTCTTGTGTGGCGCCTCCGTTTGGTGCTCCTCTCTTGGGCAAGTACAGAGATTCTTACGGCGAAATTTAAAGCATTTCAGCTCTACATACTGCAAGTGCGGACAAGTAGCAGTTATTAATAAGAGAATGATATCAAGCGTAGATACGTAATTAAATTTCATTAAACATGTGATGCGAAGCATACATCACCCGGAAGCGTAGACAAGCAGTTGATGGCTGATCGGACGATTGTTTGAAAGGAAATCAACTGCGCAGCGGGGATATATAATTATACTCCAGTTGAGTGCTGAGGTTGGTACTGGTGCAGGAGAGATAACTAATAAATACTGGCTTCCATCACAACATCAATGAAGTTTTTCTCAGGTAAATTTGAAGTCAGATGAAATATGAAAGACCAGATTTCCAATTTTCTATTACTGGGGTCCAAATAAATCCTAAAAAAACTTCAGGTTTTGAGGCGTCTTCCTTCCATCCCCATGCAAAATATACGCGCAAAGCAGATGCATGTTTGAAACTACGCTTGTTTTGCTTATGCTAATTAAATCAAGGTGTTGAAACCATTATTCCAATGTGATCACAGTACAGATATGCTTTGGAGCTATGTATATATGATTCCCTTCCAACAATGACACTGCCGGTCGTAATTCGCGGAAGATGTCGCCGTTAATTTTGTCCCCCCTTTGTTTTGCCCGGAGTGTTCATTTTTTCCAGTTAGCTCTTGAACGCTACCTTTCACTTTGATGAGACGGAAGTTAAAAATTGAAAAAACAAGAAGAAGACGACGACGACGACCAAACGGCTGCGCGGTCCCTGCCCGTTTAACCTGAATTAGTCAAGGTCTCATATGAATTTTAATACTGAATGTTTAAAACAAAAAATAAAAAATAGCATGGCGGTGATGCTATATTTGTTCTTTTAATTACCTTCTAACTCAGTTTAGAGTTTAGATTATTCATTTTTGCCTTCGTAATAAATCACTTCAAATTATCCTTTTTTTTTTCTTTCTCAATTGTGTTATAACTCTTTTCAGAAATGGATCTCCGCCCGAAACATTTTTTTATTTAATTTGTGTCTATGTTTAGATTTTTGTATATCAATTTTGATTCGAGTAATATTTTTTCAATTGACCCTGTCAAGTTTCAGATTCTACTATACATAGATAAAAAGAAAGATTAAAAATACTGAATGACAATATCCTGAAAACGACGTCGTAGCTAGAGGTCTTATCCCTCTTAAGTGCTCTCCAGTGTGGTTGAGTGATGACTGCAAAAATTGTAATTTGCACGAAGCTTGGAATCAACCATGGCCTGGTTGGCAAGGTCAATCGCGAACTCTCTCAGGCTTGACGATGACGACGAAAATGAAGACGACGCCCGGAATGCTGATCCCAACAGCAACTATGGCGGCGACCAAAAATCACCTCTCAAACCCGAATCGGAGGCAGCTCAACCCGATTCACAATCATCATCTCCTGCATCTACTCCGTCTGCACGGGGCGTCAAAGACGATCTCTCCGAGCTCACCAAATCCATATCACGCCAGTTCTGGGGCGTTGCTTCTTTCCTTGCCCCGCCGCCAGAATCGGAACCTCCTCAAACTCAGATCTCGCCTCCCAATCCGGACGAACGAAATGACCAATCGAGCGACCATTCCTATTCAAAGCTGTCCGATGAAGATGTTATTTCCGGAATCCGAAGCGATTTTGCGGAGATTAGTGGGAAATTCAAGAGCGGAATCTCAAAGCTTTCTGGTAACAGGACGGTATCTGAGATTACGAAGATCGCGTCGAATTTCCTCCAATTTGGATCCGAAGAGGAACGTTCCCTGGAGGAATATGAGCTTGGTGGTGTGGTTGGAGTGACTGAGGAGGTGGTGGCCTATGCGAGAAACCTAGCGATGCATCCGGAGACTTGGTTGGATTTCCCTCTGCCTGATGATGCGGATTCTGATGGTATTTGGGATTTCTACGTCTCTTTTTCTTTGGTCAATAGAAGTAGCGATTGAGTAATTGTATGTCATTCAAGGGAACAAGAAGTTTTATACAAGTATTTATGTCGCATTTTCCAATCTTGTTTTAAAATCAAAATGACCTTGGTATTAAATTTTGGCATGAGTTATCATTGTAAGAACACTGCATAATGTTTATAATTGTAGATTCATTCAGTCTGTTGCTTTTCAGTTGTCGGATATTTGCACTGTCTTAAGTTTTTTTCTTTCTAAATCTCTGAATGTTTTCCAACGTATTGATTATAGTGCCATCCGTGAAGTGAAAATCCATTCCTCCATATGTCATTATGAGTTAACTCTTTTTCTTTGGCTCCATGAAGATTGAGATTTAGGCTGTTCGTTGTATTTTTCCTTTTCCCTTTTTGTTTTGGTGAAATTCCTTTGCCTGATTTACATGTGCATACTAATGTACATCTTGCATGTTCATTTAGGATCTTAAATTTGAACACTTGAATCATTCACACGGAGGAAAATAGGCTCCATATTTTCTCCAATTCATCATAAGGATTACTATTCTTAAGTCTGAGATGTTCTTGTTTGTGTAATTTTTCTTCGGCAGATTTTGAATTGTCTGATGCTCAACAAGAGCATGCTCTAGCAGTTGAACGTCTGGCTCCTAGATTAGCTGCTCTTAGGATGGAACTGTGCCCTGGATATATGAGCGACGGTTGCTTTTGGAAGATTTATTTTGTACTCCTTCACCCAAGACTCAACAAACAGGATGCTGAACTTCTATCATCCCCAGAAGTGAGTTAAAGCTTGCTTGGAACTGATTTAATTTCATTGATCTATTAATTTGACTTGGTTATGCCGTGTGAAGTATTTCCTTGCTTATGATGGTTCTAACCAAATGAGTGAAATGATTGCAGTCATTTGAAATATGCTATTCTTACCATGCTCGGCATTTTAATTTTATAGTTTGATCTCAAATTATAATGAGTGTCTTGTGGTTGAGCTCAGATAATGTAATAGCTAATAAACTTTGATGTCTCTTACGTGATCCTTCTATATCATATGATCCAAGCGATTTTATGTTCTGTGCGCAGATCATGGAAGCTAGAGCAATGTTATCAATCAAATTAGATGAAGTAAGAAAGGAAAAACAAGAAGCAGATTTTTCGGCAAGGGGCACTGCTTACTCAAAAGAGGAGGAACAACATCTTTCTGTGCCCAGCAATGCTCAAATTAAACCAGAACCTCTGCGGACTTCTGTTGCTGAAGCAGCCCCGTCTGCGGTTGTGCCTGATGTGGAAATGGAGAAGCATCCTGTTCAAAGCACTGAAATCGAAGTAATTGACAAGTCTGTAATTGAAGAAGCACCACCGAAACCAAGTGCACAGCAGTCGTCATCTACTTCCACAAACAAATTCTCCGACAATACTGAGGATGAAGCAGATGATTGGTTGAATGAGGATAATTCTGAAATAGCTGGAGTTAGTGGAACCTCGATGCCTGCAGCTAATGATGATGATGTGTCATTTAGTGATCTTGAGGAGGACGATGGTGATGTGCCTGTAAGTTACAAAAAGGTTACCTCAGGTTCTGATTCTTCAACCAAAGACTCTCGGGATTGGGTACAACTAGGTCGAAGCTCACCAAACTCTGATAAGGATATAGGCAATGTCGAAAGCAGGGGGTCGGAGCATGCAAGAGCTCGTCATCCCGAGTCCAAGGATTCTAACGACTGGCTTAACGTTGATGATATTGATGTGATGTAATAATGCGACAAAACCTTCCCGGGATGGAAGTCATTTTACGATAATTATCATTTTATTTGTGAATATTTGCATACGGTCTCTGTACTCAACTGTTAGCCACTGGAAACTTTCTGTGTACATAAAGCCACTCCCCTCTGTGCATTGTGCTTATTAGTAATTCCATCGCCAAGCAATAAAGCTTCCTTTGATTTGATACTGAGTTTCAACTTTCAGGTGAATTGAGGTCATCAATTCTGTTAACGACTATTATTCGTATGCCCACATATAATAAAAGCTTTATAACAAACTGCTTAACATTTTATGTGCCAAACTTACGAAATTAAAATTCTAAATGAGTATTAGTAGTCGAATTCTTGGCACCTGGTAGATCACCCGGGCTTGCTATGATGTATCAGATAGAGTGGGGCACTCGCTTGACCCCATTGTTACCCCCGAAGTTCAATTAATAATCACGAAATTTTACCACCAAACGCTTGGATTAAGGGGTCAGGAAATTGTTCCAACTTGACCAAAATTTTTGAGCACGTAGCAACATTAACTACGTGGTGGTGGAGCTTACCACCCAAAAGGATTCCACTCGGCTCAATCCGAATTAATTTGGTTCGTAATTTTTTGAAAGATTACCCACGATATCAAATGCATGCGTAAAAAAAAAAAAATCACAACTTTACGGTTCGAAAACCATTTATCATAATTACAAGTATTCCACGGCTGTCGTTGGAGGTTATCAGATATCACCAACTGCATGTTTGTCTGATTTCTTGTTTAATGTCGTTGGGTTTAGCAGAGGGGGTCCATAGCAAGTAGCAACATGGTCAGATGATTGACATTTTAAATGAGTTTTTGACGACGGGCAATAAATCCTATAATTGATTCGCGCCCTGCTTTAACAACCCCTGCACTCTACACTTGCATTTTTGGTTCCGTATGTTTTTGTTAGATTTTAGTAAATGACAATCGACCGATGCATGAGCAGCTGGTGGCATTGACCAAAGTCATTTGTTTGTCCACAGTATTGCGCTCCCGCCGATTTTTTGTCTCACTTCCTTTCAAAAAATGATCGGTTCTAATGGGTAAGGACCGAAGAAATGGAAACAAAAACATTACGCGGGCTAATATGATCTGTGGTGCTTTATCATAGAATGGCATTTTCACGTGAAACATAATTAGCTAAGCTAAAAGAAGAAACTGATTTCCTTTATGATATATACAGGGCACTGTGCACAGACATCACTCGGAGTAGGCAAGATAGGAGGATCTGATAGATCCAAAACTGTCAGAGAGGCGTTCCAGTTGAGACCAAAGCATGCTTCCAAGTGAAAATTTACGGACGGCCTCTATACCACTCTTGTGCTCACGCGTGGAACTCGAAGATGAGGCCGTGGACATCCTACAGGGAGACCTGTGAACTGCAACAATGGACCCCCCCGCCTGTTGTCTCACTAGCTCCACTATCTTTGGGTTCACCTCCCCGCCTGCTGAATCCGTCACATAGAATGATCCTTCCGCTTTATCACCTCTCGTTCCAATCTCCACCCTCGATATCCACAGCCCATTCTCTCGGAACACCCGGGTCAGCTCCCGCATCAACCCCACTCTGTTTTCGGTGTTGATGTCTATCCTTAATCCCTGCAAAATTGTCCACTCAAACTGTACTGTCAAATAAACCGAGCAGACAAAACCCTGAAGCCGAGTGTTATGGCCCTTACATGCGACACTCTGCGCTCTATAGCAGCGATTAAACATAAGGTAAGCTTTTGCCTCTCGCTTTCTCTGAGCAGTGTTGAACTAGCCTTGTGTCTCACAAAGTACTCCTGAAAATCAACGTATAATTCTGATGATGGCATGAAATGAGAAATGCATTGAGTGCGGAGCAAAGGAAGGTGGGTCAGTAGTAGTAGGTACCTGGTGAGCCATGGAGCCAGCAGAGCGAATGGCGGCGTGAAACACCACATAGTTCATGTCGGTGAGTACGCAGAGGGTATCGAACAAGAGCTTCGGCCGATCCCTACTCCGGACGTTCACCCCCCAGTAGCCTTTCTCCTCGCACCTTCCGATCCACACGTGCGTCCCATCACATTCCTTCTTGTGCTCTCCGCCGCACTCCGCCTCACACGCCCGACACCGTTCGTAGTCCCTATCGGCGTACATCAACTGGTGCAGCCGCCTCTCCGTGTGGGTGCGTCCGGCGGCTAAGGTTGTGAGCCTGACGCTCCTCTTCTCACCGCGGGCCTCCAGTACACACTCTAAGTGCCGCTCTACGTGGGCCAATCTGATTGGGTCATCAATGGGCCCAGATGTGGAATCATCCTCCACGTGGATGATGCAGGCTGCTCTGTCGTTGTGGGTCCAGGCTGTTGCCGAGGTGGCTTTGAAGCCCAATTCTACGAGAACGGCCGATATTTCTGATAGCAAGCCCGGCCCATCCGTCCCAGTCAACTCTACTGCCGTCTTCTTCCTCCATACTCTTTCTTCTTCCTTCCAGCTATTCCCAAGTTTTTCTCTGGATATTTCTCCTCGTCTACTCGCACACAGAGCCTGAAATTTCCTCAACGTGCATATTCTCTTACTTTCAAAATATTCATTGAATAAACTAATGATATCTAAAATGAGCTATGTGTTTTAAAATTTCAACAACAGAGAAAGAGAGAGAGATAGCAGTAGATATAATTTTCTGTCCGTGTTTTCTTTAATCATGAACCTTTTTAATTTACTGAATGGAGAGGGAAGAGATGAGAGAGACCTTTTGAATGTAAAGCATGAGGCTCTCATCGATGAGTTTGTTGCCGAACGAATCGGTCACATGGAACACTGCGATCACACGTCAGAAGACAACCGCCACAAGGATTAGCCAAAAAATATTATTTTCAATTCGTTGTCGTGTCTTCTAGGTAAGTGACTCGTGCATGGTTCATAAAAGATGGCACTGGGGCAAAACAATAAGGAATTGAAGAAAGACTCACCGTCCATAAACCATCCACCGTCTGAAGAAATGAATGATTTGGAGATAACGAGGTCTAGATCTGTCAACACCTGGACCATTTCCAACAGTATCCCATCTTTGTTTGCACTATCCACCTGTTTTTGTGGACACACGATTATTCGTCAATCCCGATGAGATGTATGATTGCCAGAATGATCAAACTATACATAAGGCCGCCTGTCTATTTTTCTATGATTGCCAGAATGATCTCAAACCCTTCCTACAATCGTCACCCTCTCTGCTTTGCCTCTTGGGCATCTTCTAGCGCTTTCGTTTCAATACTGGATTATCGCGTCATTTTCAAAGAGTAACACCCAGATTTGGTTTCTTATTTTAACAAACCAACTTGTGCAAGTAGGTACACCTGTACTCTCCTGGGATTGTTCAAAACATATCCTAATTTTGTGACAGGCAAAGGGAGCTGTGGTTCAGAATAGCAAGGGCCCACCCAGCATATTATGGCGTCTTTCCTTGTTTCCTTCCTCTTCTTTTTTTTTTCCCCACTTGATATAATATTGATATTTATTCCTAGAATAATATAACCATCCAGCTCTGGACTCTGTAGAGCTGTGAACAGCTATCATTGTCGTATCACCAACAAGGGAACGCTATAAGTAATTTAAAGGCGGGCTAGAACAGTTAATATGTGGAAACACATTAAATAAAATTTGAAACTGACCTTCACCACGGTGCATTCCTCGCGAGAGTCATTATCTATGCACACCCTGCCCATAAACAATAACATGGGAAATGGAAACCAATTAACTAGAGTTTGGAGCACACTGCTGAAGAATAATTACTATGAACATAATTCTTAGTTATAGGACGTAATCAAAACAAACGATGGAAGTCAGAGAGGGAGCTCTGAAAATGGTACTAGTAACTATTAGTACCTGGGAGGATATATTCTCTCCATGAGTGATTCAAGCTCCCGATCGATGCGCGATTGGTGAATTATCTCCATCATCACTGTGCAATCCAATGGAGCTTCGGCCTACGTTGGGTGGCGGTGGGCGAAGACACGAATATATACCAGTACACTGCAGGTATTTATATATTGAGAGGCCACTTTAGCTCCAGTCGGGAGACGTTGTGAAATCCAAGGAAGAACAAGAAACGCGTTGATGAAGAACAACTCGACAAGCAAAACGCGCGACAAGCCAGGAGCGCCATCCTTCTTGTATTATAAGCGATCGCGCCCACAATTCCAGAAACGCAGATAATTATTTTAAAATAATAGATTGCTTGTCGTCTTATCGCAAAACTACGTGCTCCTGTCTATCGCTTGCTCGAAACCAATTATAAATGCTCTCACACATCCTAGTAACTTAGAGAAAACAGACGGGAAGTTGCATTCGATCGGAAATATGAGGAGAAGTCACCAATGAATTCAAAGTTTAATTAATTTGCGTAATAATCGTTGGAGGGTTAAGATTTTTTCCTGGTTTGGATGATGTCGAGGAAATATGCCTATTTGGGAATGTCAAATATTTTTTTGGTCCAAGGGAATGTCAAATATGAACGAATGCAAAACTGGACAAGAATATGGACATAAATGGCAAGAAATGAGATGGTTACCTGGGGGAAAAGCTCACAGCAGATGCAAAATTCAAGGAATATAGAGAGAGGTGAGAGTAGACAAAATCTGAATGTCTATGTTTGGCAGTGGGTTGAAGGTACACTCAGAAATCACAATTACGAGTTTCCACATGTAAGCCGAAAAACAAGGAGACGGGTGGGGGCGTGATTAACTATACATAAAAGAGAGAGAAGGCTGGCTGCGTCAATGTTGGGAAAGCAAATATAAATAGCACCGTCGATGGTAGGCTCGAGGCTTTGTGAAGCCGGTGGACGGAGGAGAGAGAAGGCTACTTCCAACGTTTGGGGCCAGAAACTTGAGCTGAAACGAGATACAGCTCAGCAGGGTTTGCAGAGAGACAAAGGAAAAGGATGGGAACGCGTGTCATGAGCGGGTTAGTTGCCGAGGGCAGGAGTGAATGGGAGAAGCGACACGTGTAAATGGGTTCCACGTGGAACGGCGGCTAGCTGGGAATGCGATGGCTATGTGAATCTGTTGTGGCCGTACGGGGATGATGTAAGGCTTTCAAGTTAAGTAAATGGGGCGGAGACGTGGAGCCTCGTCCCATGGCATCTGGGCCTCCTCTCTGCTTGCTACTCATACTGGTTGGGCTATAGCTGCTCAGCCCAATCCACGACCGCCATTGCCACAACATAATACATACAGCTGCCACTTGAAGTCGCATCCACGAGACGCCGCCGTGTCATCCTGTACAGCCGCCACTGACGTCATTACCTTCTCACAATTAGTCTCCCATACATATATATATTTATATGTGCGCATTAATGTTCACCTTCCACTTGTTCATCGATCTCTTGCGCCGTCTTCTTCATATACAGCTAGTTCGTATGGTCATTATACGGCGTCCAAAAGAAGCAAGAGATGGCATGGCAAGTGCTTTGAGTTGTACTTTCCTGGAATTAGGCATCAAAACCCGGGGAAAATAACAGAAGGAAAACAAGAAATTCCAGCGTCGGCTGCCAATTAAGTGATTTGAGTTTTCTTTTTTTTTTTTGGCGTGAAAAATAACAGCAGGCCATCTCTGAATCTGCAGACACAATTCAGGCCGTGTACGCGAGGGAATTTTGGAAGACAACTATCGCCGACTTAAAGTAACGACCCAATGTTGGAAGCAATTTACCAACTAACCAACGGGCCGGGCTCTGACGATTTTTCGGAGTCGTCAGCAACTCCAATCAGGATAATTGATTTTATCCGGTGGTTTAGTTGGTAATAAATTGGCTCCTAGCTCATAGAATGCTCAAATGCAATACTTAGAATCTAATTCACTTAAATTTTTCTTATACCAAGAGAAAATCAGGCCAGCTAGATCATTAGTTGCTCCCTTTTGTTGACCTAATTGGTCTAATGCTCCCTTAACTCCCTTCATCTTAAGGGGGAGCTTGCTAATTCAACTTTGTGGTTGTGATGAGTGTGTAAATTTCTTCCATTGAGTAAAAAAATTGACAAAAAGGCTTAATTACTCCGTTTCATTTTTTTCAAAACGTTTTACCCATATCCCAGCTTGTGCAATTCAGTATTTCAGTGTATTAGTTGATGATTTGCTCCCCAATTCATGATGGAATTCTTGGCACCAAATCCATCCTGGCTACCAAGTAACTGTATTAAAAGAATGCATCATATACACATCAAAAAAATTTCAAAACCCAAATATAAGTTGACGGGAGACCGTCAGCTAACACGCGACGTGAGAATGATTTGATTTCATTTATTATAAGATGAAATCAATTATATGACACGTACGCTAGCTACATCATCTGAACAGTTGTTGATAATACATTGATTCAATTTCGTGATTACATGTTGTTGTTAGTATTTGCTACATTTTGAAAAGTAACTTGTTTTGCTTGATATGTTTCCTCCAATGCGCAGCAGACAAGTGTTCATATCTGTGTAATTAATAATCATCTTGACACAGTGCTGACACTTTTCTGATTGTATTAGTGACATTAAATTAGTGATAAAAGTAAATGATATATCAGGAGCACAATGATAAAAATATTTAAAAAAATTTCAAATTATACTACAGATACTGATCGCCACCATGATAAAGTAAGTATGAACGGGCATTAACGTAGTAAGTGCACATTATAAAATTCAAGGCATAAATATCAGAACTGCCGGATTCATTACAATACAATACCCACAAGTTTACATACGCTTTCTTAAAACAACACTAATTCACAAACACACGACTATATATAGTGTAGAAGATGCACAAATCCTACACGGCAGCTTAAGATATATAATACAAAAGGGAAGAATATAATAAAAATAAAGTGGTGGTGGAGGAGGAGGACTGAGGATATGAATCTATGTAACTGATATGAGAAGCGTTGAGGGAGACTGTTTAAATGTTAATGGGGGCGTGACTGGGTGTCCAGGTGAGCCACAAGTGTCCTTCTCATCAAGCACCCTTCCTCCGACGCGTCTTCACACTTGTCCTCCCCGACCTGTACGAACCTCTGTCCACAGTCAAATTAAAACAAACACCTACAGTGCATAAATAATCCACACCAATCTCAGTTTAACAAATCAAAAATTAATACTACTTCTTGTTTACAAACAGGGTCTTATAATTAAGACCGGGTAATACAATCTAACCAACCTCCTGTGTTGCGTTTTGTCATAGAATTCATTAATGTGAAGACCTGGTTCAGGGCGAGTGGCGTGGGCCAGCATGTGACAAAGACACAGGGCAGTGAAGAACAATGCTGTGATCTTGGCCATTCTTGCTTTTGTTTGAAGGCTTGTTGACGCTTTGAGGACATGAGGGAGACCATATGTATACAGAAATAAGATGCCAAATTGAGGTGTCAATTTTGCAAGTACAACAGAAAAGCAACAACTTTGATGAATAAATAGAAGTCATCAGGTGAGGACACGGCAGAAAAATCAGGCAAAACCAAAACGCACCACATAACAAGAAACAAACTCGTAAAATCGTGCGGCCTCGAAAATGGATCTTTCATATTTTTAAAAAACATTCCTCACATTGTTTCTTTTTTGGGTTTGTAAATTGTAAGATGGGGCTAAAGCCCATGGAGACTAAAATAGAAGACGCAACACATAAAGTCATGAATGCATCTGCACAACTTTTTTTAAAAAAATTATTTTCTTTCTGGCCGTATCATTCACATCATGCCTTGTTCTAGATGAATTACGAGCCCCCATCAATGTAATAAGTTTGACGCACTAACCATCTAATATTAAAATCTCGCCGCGAATAAAGTTATCAGCACTATCACTATTCATCGCCTCCGCAACTCTACCGCTTAAACACTATTATTTTCACTTTTTACGTAGCCTTTAAACTCATAAATCCGCACCCGTACACAGGATTGATGCCGAGCATGATTATTAGGAAAAACTATATCTGTAGTTTATGACTTGTATGTATAACAGTGTTTAGTGAATGTTTAAAACAAGGGTATTTTAATAAAATGTTGTGAAATTTTATTATAGTTTAAGTTAACAAGTAATTTTATGGTAAGTGAGACGTTGTTTTAGACAGAGGTTGCAGTTTACATGGGAAGAGAAGTCAATTGTTGAGGAAAGGTAGGATAGCGTAGGCCTAGCGAGAGTAGCCATGGAAGAATGGAGCTGAAGCAATGATAACAGCGTGAGGAATTAATGTAATGTTTCAGAACTTGGAATTATTACAGTTGACGTTTATGCCGGCTCCCCTCTGCCATGGACATGGCAGCCTCCATGCCACTACTTATCCAGCTGCCCTTCTCCCACTCTTTGACATTAGAATATCACCTCTGTTTATTGAAATCCCTTCACTTTATAACAAGACATGACAAGACCAGCAAGCTAGAGCACTACGGCAAAAACGGTTGTTTTATGCTTGCTGGTTTTTTGTCTTCACATATCAGACGGAAATGATCTCTTAACTTTAAACTCAACCGTCAACCAATTCCATCAAAATCACCCTTAATATGTTTGCATCTCTTTTCCAGCCACACAAGTCGTTGATCGCATTTACATTCACTATTAAATGTAGCGCAGGCTGATGGTTTGCATTAAATCCACACTTGTGCCTGCCTCTACAAAGTCCACTCTCACGTACTTTTCCCTCTCTGACTTCGGTTCTTGCTCAAATTTGGGCTTCATATTGCTGAGTAACATTTAATTCCCAGCCATGGTACTTAAGAATTACATTTTTATTCATCACGGCTTCCTCAAGAAAGCCGCTGCTGTCCCACAATTAAATTGGATTATCATGTGCGGAATCATCCTTGAACATTTGAACAAACCATTCCGTCGAGGCTTCCAGTATCAAAATCGTTTTTTCGTTGTTGTGGGCTTATGGCAAGAGCCGTCTTTATTTGTAAATATAACTACAGTCCCATACAAAGTAAGATATATGCAGACACATATGAGCTTATATTGTCAGCTTCATTACAATACTTTATACTAAATAGTAAATACAGAGATGAGAGTTTCGTAATATGACGGGGGGGAACTAAAAGCTTGGGGTCAAAGTCCGGAGGAAACAAGCATTTAACGTATGTAATTACGAATCTTGTTTTGGCATATGCTTCTACTCATAGTATTAGAGAAATTCAAGGCTTGTGCTTCTGGGTGTAGATGTAGTCAAGGTGAGCGGCGAGTGTCCTTCTCATCAAGCATTCATCCTCTGAAACGCCTTCACAAGAGTCCACTACAGCATCATCATGCCCTGCGTCCGCACCCTGTGCACCAGAAAATAAAACTCAGGTAAAAACCCAAACAGAGAATAACAAAAGATATAGGCTAGAGTATCATAATTTAACCAACCAAATGTTGCGTCGTTGCTGAAAGTTCCTCGTTAAAACCTGGGACAGGGCGAGTGGCGTGGGCAAGCATAGAAGAAAGAAGCAGAGCAGTGAAGAACAGGGCAGTGATCTTGGCCATTTTTTTATTCCTTTGGCTTGGGTTAGAAGAGACAGTAAGAAGAGATTGGGATGGAGGGTTTGGAGGCTTGAAGCTACAAGCAGGGATGGAACGAATTTATAGAGGGTTAAGATGACAAATTGAGGTGTGAACGAATTTATCAGCGGGTTTTATTTATTACAGCTGATAATAATGGGAGACCAAAAAGGCAACAATAATACTAAATAAAAATAGGAGGGGAGCATTAATGGAACGGAAAAGTTGTTTTCGTTATTTTATATACTCAATAAAGAATCGCGTGAAGTAATGGGAGAAAAATCGGCCCAATCAAAAGCACAATAACAAGAAGAAGTAAAATGAAAATTAACCGAGAAAGGAGGGGCTTGAA